CCCCCCCCCTTTGATCCCGTTATCTCTTAGTTAGACTATTCTCATACCAAAAAAAAAGCAAGGCGAATGGGAAATGGGCAAAAACACGATGGGAACGTGCAGCCACCCGTTCTACCCATCGTTCGCCCGGCCCGATGCAGCTAGAAACCAAGATACAGACCAAAAACTTGGATAAAACAGAACTAGCAGAGCTCCCTTGCATGTGCGAGTTAATATGTACCTGACGGTAATCTATGTATGAAGATGGGGTAAAACCGCCATACCGAAGGTGAAAGTATCCGCAGGATATACCGACGTGTGCAAGTGCTTCGCCTAAATGAAGATGATACCAAAAACTCTCACTGCTTTCCCCTCCCCTCTTCATTGCAGATGATCGCGAGAGAGAGAGGCGAGAATTAGGAATAAGCCGCATTTTTTTTGTCTAAGCCAAGTCGGACATTCTCCGCATGATGCCAGTTCATGCATCGCGTACAAGTAGCTTCACTGTCTGTTTTTTTGCCACTAGTCAACGAGCAGCCAGCTCGGTGCTCGGATATTATCCAAAACGAGGCCGAAAACAGCATCGTTGCCAAGTCTCAGGTAGCTGGCATGATAGATACGTGCTTACTACTGCTACGGCTAACGGCTTATAGACGGACTCAAGAAACAGAGACCGAGAGACCGAGCGAGAGTGGAGATGCTGCCAACAAACCACAAAGAGGAGTAAAACAAAGCGAGGCTGTTGTAATCCCCCCTCATCTCAATTGCATCTAATTGGATTTGCCTCCCCTTACTTTGCATTACACGGAGTGAAAGAGAAACATGTAAGCAAAATTGAGCACCGGGGAAAAGGAAAAGTGCATATATGCATGTGTTAGCATGTGCCAGCCATATGTTACAGCAAAAGGCAAAAGGCATACAAATGGATCCATTGGCTGGATGCCATCCCCCCTTTCCCATGCACATGCAAGACTCTCCCGCAAAAAGAGGCACCTGAAACAAAACATGATCAATCGTTCGATCAAAGGAAAAAAGACCCGGTTTTTAAACTGTACCCAGGCTTCGTAACATGGCCAACACAGCTTTCGCCTTGCTCAACCGGTTTCCTGCAGGGTTCAGATAGGCACAACCGGCATCCGGGATGGATATGGAGACGGAGACAGCAGAAAATGGAGACGAGACAGCAAGAGATGGAGACAAAGCTTGTAAATCGATCGAATCATCGGCATGGATACAGCGCATGCATACATATGTACGTGTTCCTGTATGTATGTCATGTACGTGATTGAGGCGTCTGTCTGCAAGACATGAATCAATCGCCGGCGGGCGGTCGTGCAACTCGATAGGACTTCATGGTGAAAGGTGATAGATGAGGTTACATGAGAACTTGTCATGTGTGGTTGCACCTTGAATGATTTCAGTTTTGTTTTAGTTTCGTCTGCCCATCTATGGCATGATACCTAGCTAACTATCCAAGAATAAACCCATAAGATAAAAAAGAAAGGAGACGAAATATGCTACAAATGTGCACTCCCAGAGTAGTTACCCCCTCGTCACTTCAAATGTCTGAACAGACACAAACACAGACACAGACAGATAGACAGACACATCACAAGCAAAAGACAGACGCAGACAAAACTCCGTACTCACACACACGTGCGCTCACGCTCACGCTCACGCTCGTCGTCGTTCTCATCATACCTTGTACAGCAAGTCGAGGAACCCTGTCGCCAGATCAACAACCACGCCCTTGTTCGGCAGCGATCCCGCCACGCCGTACAGCGCCGCAGAGTCGCCCATTGCCTTGCCCTTGGCCCCCTTGCCCTCCACCAGCCGCACCCTCTCCTTCTCGCGCTCCTCCTCCACCACCGTCTCCAGGTCGGTAACTAGCCGCTCCCACACCTTCACAATGGGCATGGTCACTGCGACGTGGATGGCGGGGGGGCTCTGTAGCGCGTTGAGGTGCCAGCCCTTGGATGACATGCCGTCGGCGATGTCATACACGTTGAGCGTCTTGGCGTTGAAGGCGACGACCGACACCAGCGGCTTGCCGATGAGGTCCAGCTCGCCGCCCAGCACGGGGCCGTTCTGAATCGCCTCGGCAATCTTCTTGGTTGTCCCCACAATCTTGACGCAGGCGTCTACGTAGCCCGCCTCGCCCAGCCGCATCATGCTGGCCCAGCAGCCGGCAATCAGCGCTCCAGGCCGCGATCCCGCCATGCCGGGCGACGCGTAGACGCCGCCTGCCCAGTCGGGAGAGACAAAGTACTGGTAGGATCGCAGCTCGGCGTTTCGGTACAGCACCGTGGAGCTGCCCTTGGGTGCGAAGCCGTACTTGTGCGTGTCGCAGCTGATGCTGGTGACGCCCTTGAGGCGGAAGTCGAAGAGCGTCGACTCGAAGCCGGCCTTTTCGAGGTTGGCAATGACAAACGAGCCGAGGCAGCAGTCCACGTGCAGGCAGAGCTTCTTACGCTGGGCGAGCTTGCTCAGGGCTGCAATGTCATCGATGATGCCGTGGGGGAAGTTGGGCGCAGAGCCGACAAGCAGGACGGTGTTGCTGTTAATGAGGCGCGAGACGCGGCGAACATCTACTTGATACGTGGGAGCAGGGCAGTCTACGTAGTGAATCTTGATCTTGAAGTACTCGCCAGCCTTGCGGAAAGCCGTGTGTGCGGTCGCAGGCAGGATCCTGTAAGTCATTAGTATGCCATACATACCATACATATCATGCCACTTGTAGGTAGATGGCACTTACATCTCGGGCTCCGTAACTCCACGCTCGTTGTAGGCCTTTTGGCGTGCAGAAAGCACCGCCATCAGGATACTCTCAGTGCCGCCAGAAGTCGTCACTCCAGCAGCTCCCGGAGGGGCCTGGAACATGTGGAGCACCATTGCCACAATCTCGGCCTCCATCTTGCGCACGCCAGGGAAGACATCCGGGTGGATGGGGTTCGCCACGGTGAACTTGCCAAAGGCCTCGGTCTGCAGCTTCAGCAGCTCGTCCTCGCCGTGGTACACCGCACCAGACACAAAGCCGTCCTCCCAGCGCGTGTGGTCCATGTTTGCAAGGGCGTCGAGCTCTGCGCGCACCGCCTCGTCCGTCATGCCCTCCTTTGGCAGCGTCAGGTATCTCGTCTGGCCCGGGGGCACCAGCTTGCTGGACATTTTCTCGAGCGATTCCTTGACCTTCTTCTGCACCTGGCCGCGCACGCCCGGCGCCCGCAGAAAGTAGCCATACAGCGTCCGCTCAATGTCGCGGTACAGCTCGAGGATGGCGCCGATGATGCCTCGGCCCTTGAGCTTCCACCACAGCCGCCGGGTATACCGGAGCACGAAGAAGAAGAAAAGGATGTTCTTGAGGCTGCGGCAGAGGAAGAAGAAGACGAGGAAGACGTTAGCAAGGAATAGGTCCATTCTCAGTTTCAATTGCGCCGCTCGGCATCTCGCAACACTCACAGGTCCAGGTTGATCACGCTGAGGGAGAGCGCCTGTCTGCGGCGCTTGACGCTCTCCAGACTGCCGCGGAGGCTCTGAGGAATGCGCGAGCTCCCTGGCATCGCGGCGGGTTGTTTTTTTGTTTCTGTCTATGCTCGTCTAACAATGCTGGAGCAGCAGAGGGGATCAATTCAAACAGGCGGCATAGCAAAGGGGAAATGAAGCCACAGCTCGAAGAGACGCTGCAATGAGAGGAGTGAGGAGGATAAGCTTTGCAAACAACCAGTTGCAGCAACTTGCCACTAACACGAGCTGCTCGACGTAGTGGATGTACATTCTGCCGCGGCACAGGTACCCCCGCCGCCAGATTTGTGCTGCAGAGTACATGCCATCCCGCAATCAATTCGTCGCAGCCAGTCCATGATGCGCGTGTTCCGTGTTCCGGGAAAGAGCAAGTGGTCTTCGTCTCGAACCTGCCCAATCCCGCGCCTCGGCTGGCATCTACTGGCCCCGTAAAATACCTAGAGTGGGTTAGCGTGTGATATGACGCCCTCCTTCACATGTTCCAGCAGGACGGCCGCTAAGCCGAGACGGGAGTTGAAGCGAGGGACGGAAAACCCGCGGACGCCGTGAGATGTTGAACGTTGAACAGGTTGATAGTAAATTGTCGTTTTTCCTCCAATGAAATCCAGAATCTTGTAGTTGGCATATGTTGATGACTACTGATTATACACAAAATACCGCAATGTTGAGGGCTTCTACAGAAGTGTTTGTGAGTATCTGTGACTGGACGGAATCGTCCAAGCAGCCCGGGATGGGGATTGAGTTTTGTATTTACCCGCTTGGCCATGAAAACATGCCATGTCAATATAATTCCTCTGGTTGAATGCGGTAGATCACTTACATGTCACTGATAATTAAAATTGAGATAGAAAACTCAGAGCAGCGTTGATTGCTGTGGTTCTCAATACTAGGTAGTGCCCTACCAACAAATGCCCTATGCATCGTGTACTCAGTCATTGTGTTATAACTGTCCAGCACCCCAGCTCTATTATCTAAACACTTTAGCTATATTATGAACTATCTTCTGCTACTGCCATTACTACTATTACTATTGTTACTATGGTCACTAAACGCATTACTTCTACTACTTGTATCCACTCCACAACTGCTACTGCTACTGCTGTCACTGCTACTGCTAATACTACTGCTGCTACTTCTACTACAAGTGAATGAAGCATCAAATAGTTATATGTAGGCTAATTGCCTTATCAAGCTATAGCTAGTACGTTGTAGTGTACTAGAGCTGGGGTGCTGCATGACTTTACCCCTTGTTCTATATGCAAGGCATATCATCACATGCTCGTGGACCAGCATGCCGCTTCATCCTAAAGCACACCCACTACACGACAGAGCACTGTTATACAGTAGTATTCAAATATCGTATTATCAAAAGGTAGCCAAGCAGCTCTAAATAAAATAGGTGTCCGCCCTTCCCCAAATATCAACTCATCCTCCACGCAGGACGAATCCAAAATAAGTAAATAAAAAGACATAATTCATCAGCGTAATACCGTTTTGCTTATATAAGGTTGCTTCTCCCTCCATCTCCCAGTCTTCCTCTCCACCTCGAGTAGTTGAGAAAACCCAATCATCGTTCTCTGAATACCTACTCCAACTTGGTTACTTTCACTCCATCCAACCCCCGTATACCGTTCCATTTTATGCCCAAAATACTCTCTTTTCTTCCAACTTTCAACAACACAAACACACGTTTAGTCAGCCATAGATAAAACGCCGTGGATGTACAGATTCCAAGAAGGATATATGCTCCGAACGAACGCCGGGATTATTACGCAAGTATATCGTTTTTTGTGTGTTTTTGTCTTGTGTTTTCCTTGCCGCCGCAGTCGCCCGCCTTCCATATTTTCCCAAGTGTTTGTTCAATTCTTCTTTTTATACCCATAATTTGCCGCCCGAATCTCTTCTCTCCCTTTCGCTAATGGTAGACGATTGGAACGCCTGCTTCCCCTTCTAGTTGCCAAAAGCCGCGTTCCATTTCTTATAGTAACTTGACGACACGGTTTCGCAGCTGCCCTCGCCTGACTTGGCGCAGCCCCAGAAATAAACCACAAAGTCGCCGTCTTGGTAAGCGTCGCCTTGGTCGGTGCGCGTGTATGGGCCGAGTATGCGCTGCGGCACGAGAGCCAGCTTCGAGAGAATGGTGGGGTGCCATTGGACAATGTGTTCCTGCATTCCCTGCGTTAGTCCTCTTTTTTTATTTTCTCCCATTTCATTAGTGTCTCGGCTACACTTACCAGAGCGTGTCTCTCTGCCTTTTGGAAGTTGTAGCTTCGGTACAGAGGGTCCATCCAAGTCTCGATGAAGAACTTGCTCCATTCGCTGTTCCTCATAATCACGCTGCCAGCCACCAGACCCGAAGTGTCCTGGCTGACAATGAAATCAATATTGTCGGCTCTCAAGTGCGAAAACGTTCTGATGATGCTGTCCGGAGGAACAACGGGGTAGTTCTTGATCATCAAGCTCTCCAGCCTCCTCTGGCCCACAACTTGTTCTTCCAATGACTTGTTCACATCCATAATGTAAGCGTCCTGGTCAAGATACCAGACAAACTTGCACTCGGGGAATTTGGTCAATGCGTGTCGTATAGCCATGAGCTTCGACCAGCTCTGTGGCGCTCCCTGGGTATCGTAGTCGTAGGCCTTGACGATAAATGCCTCGTATCCTATTGTTTTCTCTGCGTGTCAGTCATCTGTGCGCATATGGGAGCAAAGGTAGAGTGTGTGTTGAGATGCGAAGAAAAATGAGGGGCTACCGACCATGCTTGGCCGCATACTGCTCTCGGTTCTCTCTGATTGTTTTTAGATAGGCGTTATTGTATGAAGTCGGGTCAATAACGGTCACTATCACAACTGGCGGCTGGCCTGAGGGCACACGCTCGCGGTCGGGGCGAGGAACGCTTGGATTTGAAAACAGCCACAGCAGCGCAAATATCGCAAACGCAACAATGCCAATGGTCCTAAGCCGACTCCTCCGCAAGCTGGGCAGTCTCGTCGATCTGGGTCGGAAGGGAGGCGGGTTGGAGCTCTTGCGAGCAGGATAGGCGTAATGCATCTTGGCGGTTCGAAGAGGGTATCTCGTATCTCGTATATCCCCAACGCAGTAGCCCGTTTTGCCAAGGATATGTATCGATTGAAGCGGTTTTTTTTTTCAAGTCTCTCTTACTTCGTTTCGTCGCAGTGCATTCAATCAAACAATGCAGTCGAATCGCTCGTTTCCAGAGGTGGCAGGATGCGAGAGTCGCGGCAAGGCGTCTTCAATCGTCCTGAGGCCAGCTGTGCGACGGCCGATAAGGAGAGACTAAGCAGAGGCAAGTCCGTCAAAGCCACAGTCTGCAGCGTCCGGCGACTCAAGCTCGTGCGAAAAGAAGAAATCAACAAAATCAAGAACCCCAATCGAATCGAAGTAAACGAGTGGCGTTGGATGTGACGGGCCGCTGCGACAAAAGGCGATTCGCGCGCGGTGAGGCGATGGCGAGCGACGATCCCTTATGACATTGGATTTGTACCGCGCTGCTATTCTTAGGGGTCTGGTCTGGTCTCTTTTTTTGCGGCCACTCAACACGAGGTGCCGGCGCCGGGAGTACGAATCGCCGGCCCAGCTGCGTGCAAACGGCGCCCTATCCTTGCGACTTGGCCTCGTATTTTTGCTAGCAGTGCTGCATACGGACTCAAGCGCCGAAGCTGACGGGCTAGTACCAAGGAGGAGATGTGATTCAGGCGTTATCGCAGATGGGATGAGGCTGATAAGGGCGAGGCTTTTCAAGTCAGGAACTGTACTTTGCTCCTCGTATTAGGTGGCATAGGTGTGCAAGTCGAATGGGTACCTAAAGATTGCTTACAAAGACTGCCAAGAGAAATAGAAAAGGTGGTTGAATTGGGCTGAACAACAGTTGTAATGAATCATCTCAGTATACAGTCACGCCTCTATGTGAAATATGCCAAAGCGGCAACTGGGTGCCACTCCGTGGTGTTAGCTGCCTTTGAACACCCTATCCCAGAAAAGATACGATAATTGGCACTGTTTCTCAACAATTGTACTAGTAGGATAAGGTATGCATTCTAAGGGACTTTTTATCAACGGCTTCCCAGATGGAGAATATTGATCTAGAAGTATAATAGTCAAGTTCTTGGCTAGGAGAAGAATAACCTTTGGACAAGCTCGTGGAATTATTCCTTATAAAGAAAGATGCTGTATTTCTTGTACCACTTGAGTTAAATCGCATGTGAGTGAGATTGAATTACTATTTCGAGGATCATATGGATTTTTTCTTTTTCTTTTACTACAATGTAAGAAGTATTGAAACATGCGGACAGGGCGATCGACATTACAGGCCCTACTTATCGTGACTGTCTGTTCTTCATAGTGACTGTTAAGGACTTCTGGCACTTATAGCATGAAATTTATACATTTATACAACAATTGAGAGACGTGTGCTCCATAGAAGTGAGAATTAAGACCAGAAACTTTACATGTAGTTCAAATAGTATGAAAAAGGGGCTAGAAATATGTTCAGCAAAGACTAGTACCTAGACACCGCATGGCAGGGTTGGCTCGGTCCCAGCCCTAGGCCTTTGTTTAACATTTACCTTCCTAGAAACGTAGGCAAGCCGGAGTTGTTCAATAATCATGTAGAAGTCTAATATCTTATATAATATCTGACGTTAGACAAATTCTGATAATAAAACCGACTCCAAGCCCTCTACCTTCAACTATTTCTTTTGACATTTCAAAAAAGATCATTATCCCAACACGTCAGAATGCCAGATCTAGTCCCTCTTGTCATCAGGGTGTCGGCAGTCTTTCTTCTTCTTGGACTATCTCGATTGCTTTTGAATAGATACAATCGGCTGAGCAGAATCCCTGGCCCGTGGCTTGCATCCTGCACCAATCTCTGGAGATTTGCTCTCACATGGACTGAAAAGGCCGAAGCTACTCATATCAGGTTACATGCTCAACATGGAGACGTGGTTCGCCTGGGACCGAATCTCGTATCAGTCACAGATCTAAATGCTGTCAAAAAGATATACGGGGCTGGGTCCTCTTACGAAAAGGTGTGAAAGTTCCTTTGTGTCCCCCCCCTTATTTTTCTCTATTCTTCCCAAGATGGAACCTTCATTTCTAATGTTGACTAGTCCGAGTTCTATGCGCCTTTTCGTGATGTAGCGCGAGGGCAACTTCTTGAAAACTTCTTTAGTTTAAGGAATAATGCCTTCCACAGAGTTCTCCGGCGAAGCGTCTCTTCAGCATTCTCTATGAGCACACTCGTCCAGCTGGAGCCATTTGTGAACTCAACATTGAGCGCGTTTATGAGAGAGCTCGATAAGAGATTTGTCAATACGGAAACCGGCCCAAAAGTCTTTGACTTCTCACGGTGGCTCAATCTATATGCTTTTGACGCCATTGGCGAGCTAAGTTTCTCCGAGAGGATCGGCTTCATCGAGAGCGGTGGAGATATAGAAGGAATTATGCATCAGATTGAGATGCAGCTTGGCCATCAGAACACTGTAAGGCTAGCCTACCGTTCGGTATTCCACACAAATTGAAGCAATGTTGATACTCACCCGCCGCTTTCTAGGTTGGCCAGATGCCATGGCTCGATTGCTTCTGGGCGAAAAATCCAATCAAATTATGGTTGGGCAGAATGGGCATTCTACATGAGCGAGACTCCATTGTGGTTAGATTTGCCGCACGGAAATTAAAGGAACGGTACGAGGCCCTAAAGTCTGGCACCTCTCCGCCCACAACAGACTTTCTCGATCGGTTCGTCCAAGCGGGGATCAAGGATCCTGAGCTGATGACGGAGCAAGAGATCCTTAGTCTCACTCTTGTCAATATATTTGCAGGTGGCGATACCACTGCCATTGCGCTCTCCGCCACTTTCTATTTCTTGCTCAAGAATCCCTCCACTCTGGAAAAGCTAATGGCTGAGCTTCACGAATCTCCGCCTAGCGGGGATAATGGCATCATGAGTTATAGCGAGGCAAGGAAACTTCCGTATCTCAAAGCTGTGATCCAAGAAGGTCTCCGGATGTTTCCAGGAATTGGTAACCCCCTTGAGCGAGTTGTCCCTCCCCAAGGCCTAGAGGTTTGCGGACACTTCCTCCCTGGAGGCACAATTGTCGGGACTTCAGCTTGGCCACTACACTCAAAAGAGTCCATATTTGGTGCGAATCCGAGGGAATTTCGGCCGGAAAGGTGGATTGAGGCCTCTGAGTCTCAAATTAGCCTTATGAACAGTGCCATGTTTGCCTTTGGAATGGGTGGTCGCTCATGCGTGGGACAGAACATTAGCCTACTCGAGATATATAAAGTCGTCCCTACAATTCTTTGGAAATACAAGGTATGTAACCAAGTTGCTTTAGGTACCAAACTCTTTGAAGAAATCTACTAAACTGAATTTTAGCTTGCTTTTGCGAACCCTACAGCTGAGTGGACTACATCAAACCGGTGGTTTATATATCAGAAAAATTTCTTTGTTACACTTGAGCATCGAGTTTAGGCGATATAATTGCTTCCATATGATAAAAAGGAGAGCAAGAGAAGACGGTTGAATAGACTTGATAGCTGAAATGAACAACAATAATAATGTGTTATAAGGTATACAGTCAAGACTCTATGTAAAATGTGCCAGGCTGTCCAAATGATGCTGCTTAAAGGTAGGTGTACTAGGGCGTACGGAGCAGATACTTGCTGGAATCGCAGTCTCTTGAATCCCCAAGGGGCTTCTCGAGCACGCAAAAACGCACCGGCAAATCTCATACCATGCCCACGGACAAAGAACCAAGACGGCCTTTGCCCAAAGCGATGGCAGAGCGTCGCTATTTGCACGCAGACTAGTTGGCTTGACACGGAAGAGCGAGTTCGAGACAACTTAAGAGTGTGCAAAACGTTGGGATATCGTCAAAAGTAGAGAGGGGAAAGCACTGGTAGATTCGCATTGAGGCAGAAAAGTTCATCATTGATCCTTCTTTTCGTCCTCATCAAGGTCACCGTCATCGTCGTCAGTCCCGACATCCAAGACTCTCTCACTCACATTCTTCAGCACTCGTTCACTGAGTTTCTTCACTCCTTTCCAAATTCCCATCAGAGCCGTAAAGGCCCCAATAATGACAAACAATAGGCTGATGTTCTCGACTCTTGCTCTTCCGCCTTCCTGGCGTCGTCCCGTCATGTTGCGCAGGTTCCACCAATGCCACGGCGAGACGGCGAGCATGGATTTGAAGATGCCCACAAGGCCAAGTGAGAAGAAGCCTTTGACGAAATGTTCCGACCATGTTGTTGGCGGTTCCCAGTCTGGCTCTTGAAGCGCTTCAATATCCGTTACCACGCTCGTCACGGTTTCGCTGATTGTACCAACGGGATCGACCCAGAGGTTGAGGAGCGGGTCTGCCATGAATCCCAGCAAGAATATGCTCACAACAAGAATCGCCACCGTTAGCCCGGCTTGAGCCCATTTGCTGCTTAGCATCGAGGCCCAATGAAGGCGCACCAGTCGATAGGAGAATTTGCACGTTGGGCATTGCCAGTAATTTCTTGGGGCCGTGGGGTTTGACAGCCGCCAAGAATTGAGACATCCCTCATGCACATATTTTTGCGATCCCTTGCACTTGCATGGGGACAAGAGTCTTCCTAGCTCGGCGTCATCAGATACGTATACCGGCTTGCTCGAATTTGAAGGGTATTTTGGTTCCACGACATCCAGGCAGATACGACACGTTCGTGGTTTGTATCGCCTCTGATTGTGCGAAGCATTTGGTGGCGGCTGACTTTGAGTTTGTGCAGATGCGTGCTCTCTATCGTGGTCTGATGCCGTCCACTCATCTGGATACGTGGTGAAAGTCTTGTCCGGAACCGACGACTGATACGGCGCTCGGGCTCGCTCGCCAAACCACTCCATCGCGGCTGTAGCTTCTCAGCCAGCTGGTAAAGCAATAAGTAGTATCGAGAAGAAAAAGGATGACAGAGGAAGAGCAGTTGGTAGCTTCACATGGTACGAAGTGGCAGTACCTGGCAAGTTGTCTGGTCAGGCAGTAATGCGGGAAAGGAAGAAGAGCGACGCGTCAGGTCTTCACAGTGACAGTAACAGAAGAGGCCACTTCATCGATTTCCGCGTCACATTCCATGTAGCTCAGCGAGCCGAATTCTCCGGCTGCGTGACTGCGGAAAATGATTTTTCTCTGGCGGAGTTTGGTAGACGAGAAAAGCTGCCGCACCAAACGTGGTACCTACTAGTAGTGCTGGAAATTCCCAAGCTCCCCCCACCGGAACTCGGCAAAATAGAAGCTCCGCAGCCAGCCCACTGCCTGGCGAGCTTGACGCGCAGCTCAGTGTGCCTGCTGCCGCAAGTGGGATTCCATAGTGTTGTAGCAGAGCAGCTGGCCAGGATAGCTTCATCAACACCCGAGAAGAAGCATTTGGCGCTCCGCATATCGACGCAATTGACCGCATAGACTCTCGACCAGCATCCCGACATGGCTGACCGATACTCCTTCTCTCTGACCACATTCTCGCCCAGGTACGTAGCCTGATGTCATCTCCATCTCCATGCCAAAGACCCCTCTACTGACCCTGTTCCCTCAATAGCGGCAAGCTGGTACAAATCGGTACGCATAGCTCCTGGAAGCTGGATCCATCGCTCGAACCATTCGGATGGGTATAAAGTCGGAATTCCAGAACGAGGCTGACATGTTTGTTTTCTGAATCGCAGAGTATGCGCTGAATGCGGTCAACCAGGGCATCACTGCTCTGGGTATCAAAGGTATAGTCCAACTTCAAGAGAGCAGCAGATGGCCGGTGAGCTAACCAAATGAACTCACAGCCACGAATGGCATCGTCCTTGCTACCGAAAAGAAGTCGTCTTCCCCCCTCGCCGACCAGAGCAGTCTGTCCAAGATTAGCCACATCACGCCCAACATCGGTACCGTCTACTCCGGCATGGGACCCGACTACAGAGTACTGGTCGACAGAGCGCGCAAGGTTGCACACACAGGCTACAAGCGCATCTACAACGAATACCCTCCCACCAGAATACTCGTGCAGGATGTGGCCAGAGTCATGCAAGAGGCCACCCAGTCAGCTGGTGTTCGACCATATGGCGTCAGTATGCTGGTTGCAGGCTGGGACGAGGGCATCGATCCCGAAGAGGAGGAGACTGAGATCAAGGAGGGCGAGGAGGTGAAGAAGACAACAAAGACGGGAGGAATTCACAAGGGAGGTCCCATGCTGTACCAGGTTGACCCCACGGGCAGTTATTTCCCCTGGAAGGCCACGGCCATTGGCAAGAGTGCGACCAAGGCCAAGACCTTTTTGGAGAAGAGATACTCCGAGGAGCTGGAGCTGGAAGATGCCATTCACATTGCTCTGTTGACGCTCAAGGACAACATTGAGGGTGAAATGAATGGTGATTCTATTGAAATCGGTAAGCTCTCATCTCCTAATACATGGAACATACGAGCGGGACATGTTTATTGTTTCTAACACTCGATTGCTTTTTTAGGTATTGTTGGAGCCCCAGCTCACCATCTGCTTGGCGTGGAGGGCGTTGAGGGCGCCACTGGCCCCCGGTTTAGGAAGCTGACTCCCCAGGAGATTGAGGATTACTTGTCAAGTCTATGATAGACATACCCATGCTCTGAATAATGATAAAGCAGGCTTTGATGTATACCAATGAAGCATAAAAGCTTAATAAACAAAAAGAATTGCACGATACAGGGCTAATTCGGACCAACTGTATCTTGTGCAAGCCAAGCCGAGTGAAGCAAAGAGTGAGTAAAAGCGTTAATGCTCTTTGCAACAGCCCAGGGCGCTATATAGTAGAGTAATCCAAACAATCTTGTGAGATTTCCTGTCCCTTTTAGTAGGCTCTGCGGCGATAAATCAATTTACGCTTTGGCAGCCAGAATAAAGGATGCTCGCGGACCAGCAGCCACACACACAATCTTATAACCATCTGCAACCAGGAACGGAACATTCGTCCATGTTTCTACTCTCTCAACTTCTCTCCCAAGCCCAAGCTGACCATTTCTGTTCTCGCCACAGACGTAGATGAGCCCATCCGTAGTTAGTGCAATGGCATGAGCATCTCCCAGAGCGACATCCACCACGTCTTTGCCGCCGTCGACCTCCGTATAATTGGGCACGCCCGAGAGCTCTGGAAAGGCATGTCCTCGACGACGATGCTGAGAGTTGCCTGATGATGCTGATGCTGATGTTCTTGCAGCTGCCGCTGGCGAAGGGCAGCCCCAGACGTAGACGCTACAGCTGTTGCTCGTCAGCGCCGCGACAGCAGTTCCGCCGGCGGTGACGAGTTTGATTGGATCATCTGCCGACGCGATGTCATTGAGGTCGGGTACCGGGCCCGGCTGATCAGACGGTCTGTAGGATTTTGGTCGAGCCCGGGTTAGTGGGACCTTTAAGTCCGTTATTTTCGCCATCTACTTTCTTCAAGGTTGGCTTACCGATCTAGCGGATCAGTGTCTCTACCAAGACACGCTTCAAAGCGGGAATCGCCAAAGGTAGAGACAGAGCCATCAGAGTGGAGGATGACGAAGCCGGTGTTGAACGCGGCGACTTGCGTGGCTCGAGGGCGGCAGTCGAAGATGGACTCTGGCTCGGCACCAGCTCTTCGAGATGTCAAGGACGAGTACTGTACCAGCTTGTTGCTGTTGTTGGCGTCATTGTCGTCGCCATCTTTGTCGTGGACAATGGCTAAGAGTTTTCCGGAGGCGGCTTCGGCTGACGTGTAGAGAAACTCGGCTTCGGTATCAACAGTCTCGGGGGATACTAGGCCGGCGACGAGCAGGCCTCCATCTCGGTGAACTGCCAAAAGGAGTCCTTTTTGTTAGTATAAGCGAAATCGGAGTGTTTGTTTACGGCAATAGGTGGTATCATAATGTGAGCAATACCGATGGTGTAAGTGAGTCGAGAGACTGGTCGTTTGATGGTGGCGGCAGAAAGAACTTTTGCAAAGCGGTAGAGGTCATGAGGCTCCTCTTCTTCCTCTTTTGAGCTTTGACGATTGAGGCAGAGCTGGTGCCAGGCGTTGAAGCCTGTTGCGTAAAGGTCCATGGATGGAGACTTTTACATTTACATGGTTAAAGTGGTCGCTGGTGGGTCGGATGTGATGTCGATTGGCTTGTTGTTTTTACGAAGAGCCTTGTATGACAAAATGAGGCTGTCTAGTGACTAGCTCCAATGTTACTACACCATTTTGGCGACTCAACCAGATTATGGCATACAAGAGCTTTAGGCTCCTGTTTTCACTACAGTATAGGCAAGCCAATTGCTTATAATCCTTGGTGTTGATGCAGGTCAGATAACATCAAGAGAAGCGACATGTATAGATTCAATGTTGCCTACAGAGATAGGCAGATGGATTGACCCAAAAGCCATTGAAGGTGTGAAAGTCAACTGAGCAAAAGTACTACATCACCCATGGCTGATGGCTCAGTTCTGATTGAATGCTACATTGTAATCTTCTTTTCGTCTTGAAGTTGATAGATTCACGCATCCACTGCTTTGCTGCGTGTAAGTTACATTGTAAGCGGCAGGCGTATTACGCCGTGTATTGGGCGTATTATCCACCAGAGCGGGTTATTTATAGCGAATGGTACTGCGCTAGCCTCTGTAACTTTACGGCCGGTGAGCCATATCCGACGTATGACTCCTATGACTCCCCGGCGTTGCATGAGAGCACGGAACACCGCTGCGGTAAATCGGCCGTAAGGGATGTTTTGGCGAGTTCCTAACAGCAATTACTAGTTCCGTGATGGCGGGTCGAAATTCCCCGAGAAAGTGGAGGAGGTGCCGGCCGAGAGTGGTTGGTAGCATCAAGATTGATGGCTGGTTATATTAAGCGAGATGAGTGAGTACATGTATCAATTATACTTAGCTACAGGCCCTTGCAGTTACGGATGGACTATTGCAGTTACGCTGCTATGACAGATGACTTTTCAAGTCGAAGTCAGACTCAGTGTTCACTTCAAGATGCTACCTGCTTAGATTGTAGCTCAGACACTTATGATTCTCCACTGTAGTAATGCAGCACCGTGAACACTCATCTTGGCAATACACCTTTCAAAAGCACGCATTGACTTCTCATTAGCCGAATCCTTCTAGAACCGCGTGGTCTATAATTATTAATAATTATTATTAAGCTCTCCCAAAAGCCTTGGAGAAGATCAAAATTGTCGCGGTGCCCAAACAAGCCTTGTGACCACCTCTCAATTGGCTGGCCTGCAGGGTAAAGCGCCTTTGTGAAACGACATAATATCGCTCGTCAGGGCCTCCGACATATCAGCCTAACTGTCTTGGTCACGATATTATGTACCGTATGTGGCCAAGTTGGTAAGTATTCAGCGTTTGTGGGGTGAATTGAATAAGAAAACTCGCAGCTTTGCTGTAGGGCATTATTATCTGGCATTACTAAATGATCATGGCGAGGCCATCATGATTGGCCGTTACGGCACATGTAGACATCAATACATTAGGCATCACGTTTACGTTTGTCAGGGAATTGTCGGCAAAGCACTTGGACGAACGAGACAAACAGAGCTAACGACGCCAGCCTTGGTTGTGTCAGCTAATAGCAGGGTGCGGTCATATCTACACCAGCAAAGGCGTACAGACGGCGAAATAGACTTGCTTGAGACTACTACATACAGCCTTGAATGACGGTTGCCTACGTAACACCTAGTTGAGTTCTTAGCCGATAGAATGAACCGCCCAAAAAGAAAAAAGAATTGGAAAAAAAAAATTACTTAGCCCAAGTTCTATACAGGCTCTGTTTATTGAATTGGGCGCTGATGGCTCCAAAGTTGTTGGCCTCCCACCGATCTGAGTAACGGGTGCGTGTGTGAAGTCATAGGTAGTCAAAGTCGTATTTCCTGCGCATAATACAGGCCTCGTCCCCCGCTCGTCATCGGCTTGCGTCTTCACCTTCGACATCTTTACGAACATCTCAAGATCGTCTGTCGAATCGTCCCAAATATTAGCCAAAACGAGGGCCTATACTTTGTCCCAATCTGGAGACGCCTCAGCTGTTGACGCCTCGGGCTGTCTATACGCCCTTGAGCTGGGATCAAGCCCACCCACCGCGCGTACCAGCCGCCATCAATCGAAACCGACTTACTTGCCCACTATTACCTAGCAGCATTGTTTACCTAGTCATACGATTTCAAAGCAATCCAGGCTATCCATATTCCCTGGTTCGCACGAATCGATCCGTCTGATAGGCCACATGAGCTTGCACGCCCTAAGGCTGTTACCCCGCAACAAGCTCTAGGGACGCCTTGTGAAGCATAATTGATATCAATCTCGAGCTAAGGGCCAAATCCCGCCAACGGCCCTATTTGCTCTTTCGGGCAACTTTTTTAGACAAACAGGCCAATACCGCCTTTTCCCTTTCCGTTTTGATTGCGTCTGGGACACACGTCAGGCTGCCATCCTGGAGCCTGTGGCTTCGTAGAGGTGGTTGTTGCCTGAGTCACACCCGATCCGCAGCTGCGGGAGCGCCAAAGCACCGTCTCATGTGGCGCACTCCGGCATGCATGTTAGCGGCAGATGGCCTGGCATCTGGGAATGGAAATGGCCCTGGTCTTTGGCCTGGCCCGGCCTCGGGTCCGGCTCCGGGCGCGGTTCCCAGGGCCCTGTCGACGATGCGTGGTTCGTCTGGGGCTGACGTGACGCCGTCCAGTGTCGACGGCTCTGGCTCAGGCTCGGGCTCTGATTCGGACTCTGCAGGGCGTGGCTCGGGAGACACACCCCTGGACCAGGAGGCGGGTCATAGCATCGAGAAGTGGGCGGGCGTCATTGATGATGCCGGCATTGGCGTGGACGAGGCTCTTGTGCCTGGGGCTGATATTAGAGACGCCTCGTCCACCCAGCAGGTTCTGGACTCGGGAAGCCAGGCAGAAACTCCAAGTGGCAATGGAGAGCAAGCAATAATGGCGTCGAGGGCGTACCAGCTTGAGATGCTCGAGCAGAGCCTGAGGCAGAATGTGATTGTTGCTGTAAGTGTGATATCTTTTTATACTTACATCAACTTTTTATAGTGTTTTAGGAAAAAGTAAAGTTGTCTGACTAATGGATGTAGATGGACACGGGGAGTGGCAAGACTCAAGTGTAAGTCGAAGTAGACTTGTCCACCACTATATGCTGACTTTGCCTTGTACCAGGGCTGTACTTCGTATCAAGGGAGAATTGGAGAGATGCGACCCAAAAAAGGTGAGCTGCCAATGGCTTCATGCTGGAATGAAAGGAATACAGACGCTGATAAGACAACCTCTAGATTATTTGGTTTATCACGCCGACTGTGTATTTGAGTGCACAGCAGCATACAGTTCTGAAGCTGCAGATCCCCTCGGTGCCCATGAAAATGCTCGCTGGCAACCGCCATCTACCTGGTTGGGCGCAGGAGACCTGGAATTCTATTCTGGAAAACACTCGAGTTATCATTACAACGCCCCAGATTCTGCTGGATGCTCTCGACCACGCTTACCTTAAGATGGAACACTTGGCGCTGATAGTATTTGATGAAGGTAAGCGTTTTGATCTTTTCCAGAAGCAGCGAAAAAACATGGCAGTTTGATATATATATAGTTTCGAATCGCTGACATGTCGATTCTGATCTAGTCCATAATTGTGTTGGTAAAAACCCTGGCGGCAAGATCATGCAGAATCATTATCATCCATGCTTGTTGGCTGGCAAGAGCGTGCCAGCAATCATGGGCCTGACAGCAACCCCAAGCATCCAATCCGAGGCTACAGATCTCGCAGTCTTGGAGCAGCTGATGGATGCAAGATGCATCTCCCCCACGCTGCACCGAGACGAGCTCCTCAAATGCGTCAAGAGACCCAGTATCCAGCATAAAGTCTACATGCCTGCCGAGGATTACTCCACTCCTGCCATGGCATCTCTGGAGAAGGTCTATGAGGGTCTGGACATTAACGAAGACCCTTTTGTGCAGTCGCTAAGGGAAAACCTGACGGATAGGAACGAACGTTTGTTAGAGAAAACTATAATGAAACAAGACACCTATACGCATATTCAAATGAAGACATTCAAGTCTCAGTCGCAGAGCATATGCAAACAGCTGGGTCCTTGGGCTGCTGACCTTTTCATCTGGAAGAGCATATCGTCTTTTCTCGAGAAGGCTGAAACCGGCGACGAGTTTTTCGACCAGTGGTATCATTGTCGGAACAGTGAAAAGAAGTATCTGGCCGACATTTTTCGTCGAGTCGACGTCAAGCCCCCTCCCAAGGCTCCCCAAGATCTAAACGACATTTCAGACAAAGTCCTCATGCTGTTGGAAGAACTCTTGTCAATCGATGAACCAAGCACAATGGGAATCATCTTTGTTGAGGAGCGCGTCATGGTGAAGATGCTGGCCGAGCTCCTGTCCATCAACCCGGCCATTACGAAGAAATACAAAGTTGGCACCATGGTTGGATCTTCCAACTACTCATCAAAGCGAAGAATCGTGTATGATTTTGGAGACAAGGGCGATCTCAAGGCTCTGCAGAATTTCCGCTCTAGCAAGATTAACCTACTCATTGCAACCTCAGTCTTGGAAGAGGGAATTGACGTCCCTGCCTGCAATCTAGTCATCTGCTTTGACGTCCCAAAGACTTCAAAGTCGTTTATACAGAGGCGCGGACGGGCGCGAATGAAGGACTCGAGGCTGTTGCTTTTCTTTGACGAGAATGACGCTTCCTTGAAGAAATGGGAGGAGAAGGAAGGCGAGATGAACAGACTCTTTGAAGACGAACAGAGAGACATGCAGCAATTGGCGATGATTGAAAAATCTGAGAGCCTAGGCACTATATTTTATATTCACCCGGTGACTGGGGCGAGGCTCGACTTTGACAATGCCAAAGCGCACTTGGAGCACTTTTGCAGGGCGTTATCGCCAGCAGAGTTTGTTGACAGCCGACCAGACTACATCATTCACGAAGAGATGGGTGTGGGTTCTCATGCTTTGACTGCCACTGTTATACTTCCACCGTTCATACCTGTGAATCCGAGGCAGTACAAGAGTGCGTCTGTGTGGCAATCAGAAAAGAATGCTACCAAAGATGCCGCCTTCCAAGCCTACATGGCCCTTAACGACGCCGGGCTTTTAAACGAGAATCTATTGCCATTCAAAGCCGATGAGATTCCCGGTATCGATACCCGAGTGCCTGAGGTGGCTGTTGAGCCCATGATGAAGCCATGGCATCATGTTGCTCCTGCGTGGCGAGAGACTGGCGATAAATGGCTCTACTCTCTCACTTTATCTGAAGAAGATGGCCAGTTGATTGGCGAATATGAGATTTTGCTGCCTGTAAGGCTTGACCAGCCTCTGCCTCTAGACCTGTTCCTAGACAGAGGCCATAAGCTGGAGCTGAGATTCTCTGAAGGAAGGCCAGTGCCGCATGGCCAGGTTGCGTCTTTGCCAGACCATACGTCAGCTCTTCTTGCGCTGCATTTCTGCCACAGGTGGCCCAAAGAGGAACTCCACAACGAAGGACGAGAACACGTGGTGCGAATTTGGGCCAAGAACGACTCGCCCTCAATAGACCAGATTGGTGCAGTTGGATTTGAGCCGTTCGAAGAGGACCATAAAAATGGACAATATTTTATACGAGACAACACCAACTCTCCCTACATCTACAAGGACATGATCGAAAGAAAGCCCCCTATCGATCTGGTGCAGAATGCTTTTTACGGGTTTGAAAAGGCTCCCGAAAAGGGGCCTTATCTCGTGCTCAAGAAGTGGACGCGGAGAACCGATTTCCTGCACCGCTTGCAAGGGAATCCCGAGAAAGAACAAGCTAGCAGCAGGCCTTACTCGCGGGTGTATCCCATGGAGTGGGCAGTGGTTGATACCGTGCCGGCGACGCATGCCATGTTTGGCATGATAATACCCACGATTATTCATGAGCTGGGTGTCATGCTGATGGCTAAGGAGCTGGCCACGACTGTTCTTGAGCCTGTCGGGATATCGGACTGGAGATTGGTGAGAGAGGCTATCTGTGCGCGGAGTGCGAACGAGCCGATGAATTATGAGAGACTGGAATTTATGGGCGATTCTATTCTGAAGCTTTGCACTTGCATACAAGCTGCTGTTACCAGTGAGAAGGCCTCCCAGTTTATTATTTTCTTTCTCTGGCTAATGTGATGTTGCTTAGAACCCGATTGGCCTGAGGGCTACCTTTCTTACTGGAGAGACCGACTGATTTCTAACGTACGGCTATACCGGGCAGCAGTTGAATTTCGACTGCCCAGGTTTCTTGTCACAAAGCCTTTCACAGGTCATAAGTGGCGTCCTTTGTACTTGGAGGATGTCCTACAGGAAGATATCAATGCACCTACGACCGAGAGAAGGCTTTCGACTAAAACACTCGCGGATGTGGTTGAAGCGTTGATTGGTGCTTCATACAGCGAGGGAGGTATTGCCATGGCAGAGAAATGCATTGCCATGTTTCTGCCGGAGATCGTATGGGATGGCATGGTCAAAGGCAGAGAGATTCTCTTCAGTAGGGTGCCGCCAAATGAGCCTCTTCCGCCGATTTTGGAGCCCCTGGAGAGGCTGCTTGGGTATACCTTTCAGCGCAAGGCTCTTTTGACAGAGGCCTTGACGCACGCCTCGTACATGGCGGATAATATGATGGACCATGGCAAGCGATCCCTTGAAAGGTTGGAATTCTTGGGCGATGCTGTTCTTGACCACGTTATCGTGACCAAGGTCTTTGAAGTGACGCCGGAGCTGCCTCATTATACGATGCATACGCTGAAGACGGGCTTGGTGAATGGCGATTTCCTCGCGTTCATGACGATGGAACACGGTTTGAAATCCGTCGAGACTGTTGTGACGGAGGAAGGCAGCGTGGAACACCAAGAAACGCATACCTATCTGTGGCAGTTTATGCGGCACGCGGCGAATTCCATTGGAATCGAGCAATTAACGACGGTGACAAGACACGCAGCCCTAAGGGAAAAGATCCTCGACGCCATGGAGAACGGCACGCACTATCCATGGGCTCTGCTGGCGGCGCTGAACCCGAAGAAGTTTTACTCTGATTTGTTTGAGGCGGTGCTTGGTGCCGTATGGGTCGACTCGGGGTCCATCGAAGCGTGCAGGGCTGTGTGTGCGCAGTTCGGACTGATGAAGTACCTGGAGCGGCTGCTGCGCGATAAAGTACATGTGCAGCATCCAAAGGAGGAGCTGGGCAAATGGGCGAACTCGGAGACGGTGGTGTATGATTTCCATACGGAGGATGTGGTTGAGTTGCCCGGGAATAAGGAGTTCTTTTGCAAGGTTGTGATTGGGGAGAGGGTGGTGGTGGAGGCGAGGGGGGGGATTAACAAGGAGGAGATTAAGACGAAGGCTGCGACGGAGGCGTTGAAGATTTTGGTGGAGGAGAAGAGGAGGAGGGATGAGGCTGAGGCTAGTGGTGATGTTGTGATGGGGGAGGGGGATTGAATGATGGATGGGAGGAATGTTTGATTGATGTTTTGTGGATGAGCTTGTGGTATATTTTGATGATAAAGGAACTGGTCATGATAGTATGGAAATGACATTGAAGAAGGGACTTTGTTTTAGGATATAAAAGGGGATTGTAGATGACAGTGGTCTGTCGTCTTTATGCTAGGTTGGTTGACTAGATAGATACATTTCATTTCAAGAGCGATGCTCACATCTCTTTTTCATTTATATAGAAGGCTAATCAATAAACAGCCTCTTTATTATCTACTGTTCGAGTCTATCTATTCTCTCTTTAACAAAAGAAAAGGCTGTCCAACGTCTTAGTTCTACTATCTAACACCCCAGCTGTACCAGTCCATAAATGAGCGTTATATATAAGGAATCTTAACTGCGATATACATCCCGTAGTAGAAGCAGTAGAAGCAGTAGCTAAGATGCCGGATACCAGAATTAGTGTGCTGGATAACTTCTCGAAAAGTATCAAGCATGCTGCTTCAGCTCTTCTAATATCAAGTCCACCATCCATTCCAGAATCTTGTCCATGTCACCATCCGCTCCCTTCTCACTCGGCACCCGAATGGCCTCTCGCTCCAGCACATCAGCCTTATACTCACCCTCCACATCCCCGCCCTGAAACATCCACGAATGCTCCGCCACGTAGTTTGGCCAGACAATCTTGTCGACGTATCCCGGCGGGTCGGCCCAGAAGCCCTCCAGCGTGACGTATCCGTCGCGGGCCTCACGACGAGCCTTGGCCTTTGCGTAAGAGGCGCGCAAAAAGATTTTGATGTCGAGATGGGGCTGGATGGCGGCCATGGAGGGCGGGTAGAGGAGGAAGCCGTCCAGGATGCAGAGATTCAGGGCGGAGGTGGTTAGGGGGTGGGTTGAGGGGAGGAGGGAGGAGACTTTGGATTTGAGGGCTGAGATTGTGGTGGAGGGGACGGGGCATTTGCCGACGGAGTTTTGGTCTTCTTTGGAGTCGAGAGCTGGCTGAGAGTGAGAAGTTGGTTAGTTGGTACTTGTTATTAACATGAGTCCCCGAGGAGGAGATGAGTTGTGTCATACGGGAAAAGAGGCATGTTGGCGGATATAAGAGAGGGCCTCGGCCATGGCAGGGACGTCTATAGATTCTGCGCAGTCCCAGTCAAGAAGGCCATCCTTCATGGGGAGTCTGGAGTCGCTAGTAAGCATATATATATACATACAAGTGATGAGGAGATATGAGAGCTGAAGTTTGAGTGAAAATAGAAGCCATATTCACTCAACACACAACACAATGGAGGGGGTGAGTCTCACTCAGTCTCGGGCCTGTAAAAATCATCTTCGTGCAGGATAAACGTGCTGGGGAAGATGTCGCGCAGCAGCCGGGCGAGCGTTGTCTTGCCGCTGGAAGAGCAGCCTGAAAGGGCCACTATGAGGGCCTTTTTATCTGCCATGGTGGTGGTGAGCGAAAGAATGGCGTTGCGGATTCAAGGCGATTTATAAAGAGACTTGGAGGATTCGCGGATTCACATGAATGTAGAGCACGCGGTCTTTAGTGCTGGATTAGCGGCCGGAGGTGGGGTTGGAGGGGTCTTCCAGGGCGGGCAGGTCGCCGTGTTCCGGTGGAAGAGCGCTGTGGCTAGTGGCGCCTTTTTTCTTTTCTTCCGCCCGAGACTTGAAACTTGCATGTCCCGTATCGCTTGCAACTCCTGAGCATCACCGCTTGAGACTCTGCCTCTCATCTTCTCCCGCGTCTTCCACACCAAACCCACCATTAGATCATACGACAAACCTGCTCTCGCCGTATCCAGCAGTCAATTGTTCGCCCTCGTTTCTACCCCGCCATGGCTTCCCCCGACCAGCAAACGCAGACGGGCATGATGCTCACCACCGCCCTCGCCAGCGTCGTCACGGGCTACGTGTTTGGCATTTACACCGCTAGAGGATACCTCATCTCTCCAGCTCTGGCGGAAGAACGACGAAAGTACCACAACGATCCTGTAGAGAGCGAGGAGAGCGACGTGGATGAGGACGACGCCACACTGGACCATGCACCGAACTGGGCCAACGGGCTGGACGCCGACGTGAGACAGGGGCTCAAGTTTAGAGATTCGGGAGTGGCGGAGAAGAGGAGCTTGATGGAGGATACCAGCGAGGAGTGTAAGCTGGTGCTGGTTGTGAGGACAGATCTGGGCATGACCAAAGGTATGGTTTTCTGTTCTCTTGTTCTGCCTCTCTTTGCTTGGTGGACTCTTTAACTTACTCGCTCGTTCTATCACAGGCAAAATCGCTGCTCAGTGCTCTCACGCCACGCTCGCCTGCTACAAGGCCCTTGCCCGCGCCGACCCGGCATCCCCCGAACGCAAGTTGCTCGCCCGCTGGGAGCGCTTCGGCCAGGCCAAGATCGCCGTTCAAGTCAAGAGCCAGGCCGAAATGCTGGAGCTGCGAGGCAAGGCTCGCGCAATGGGGCTCACGGCCGAGGTGATCCAGGACGCGGGCCGGACGCAGATCGAGGCTGGCAGCATGACGGTGCTGGGCGTTGGACCGGCGCCGAAGAGCTTGGTGGACAAGGTTACGGGAGGGCTGAAGCTGTTGTAAGACGCTGTAAAGATATATATACACACGGGATATTATTGCATATGGTTTTGATTTTTATGGACTGAAAAAGAAGACTTGCGGGCATTGCTGCATCAACGGCGTCTAGGCGACAGACAGGCTGCTAAGCATTTTTTAAGCCACGGTAGGATGCTATGAGCTTCTATGTATGTATTGGTTTACACGAGACGAAAAAGGGTATATTAGGAACAGAAGAAAAAGAATACAGTGTTTGACGATTTCACGACAAGACATCTCTCTCCATCAGCGCATATGGTCACCAACTGCACATCCATTTCTTTCGTCTATGATGCTATGGGTATTAGTATATACTACGTTTTGATATGTACCAACTGCTATTACTCCTTCTTTGCAAAGCGCGATAGCGCCGGCCCCAGATCCTCCTCTACCTCTTGTCGCTTCTTGTCGTTCTTCTTTTGCTGCTCTTTCCACAGCTCGTCCACCCGCATCCTCTTCTCGTCGATGATGTTCCTCTTGCGCTGCTTGCGCAGGTACTTTTTCAACGCGCCATTCTTTCCTCTGGCGCGGTTGCGAATCTCCTCGGCAATGTCCGCAGGCTTGGCATCCAGGTCCTTCTCGGCCTTGCGCTGCGCGTCGGACCGCAGATCGATGTTGCCGATAAAGTTGGGGTCCAGGGCAATCATCTCGGGCGACAGCTTATTGAGCAGGCCGCGGACCTCGGTCTCCTGTCGCTGCTTGTTCGTCTCGAAGGGGTTGGCCTCGAAGGCGTCGAAGTTGGCCTCTCCGGCGCCGGGGACGATGACCGAGGAGAATCCCTTGTCGTGGCTTATGCCGAGGACATCTTCAAAGGGGCACCACTGGACGCGCTCGACGGTCTTGCCCTCACGGCCCCATTTCATGTAGGGGTGCGTTACTCGTTCCTGGGTGGCGGCGTTCTTGTCGAAGAGGCCCTTCCAGATGGTCGTGGATGTGCCCCAGCCGACGGCTGTGAGGCCGGTATCTGAGATGGCGACAGAAGACGCCGGGGTGTATGTCGAGTAGGTGTTGACTTCCTTGAACATTCGAATGTCCCAGACGGCCATTTTGGCGTCTTGTCCTGCTGAGACCATGTATCGGCCCTCTCGATCGACCGCAAGGGATCGCACGGGGCCTCGGTGTGCTAATAGCTTGACGACTGGCTCGGCGGAGTTTGGTGACCAGAGGGTTACTGTGCCGTTTTGATGTCCGGCATGGATGATGGCGTTGTAAGGGTTGTGAGTTAATGAGCAAGGGGGACCAAGTCTTGATGGGATTTCGGCGACGACCTGACCGGTTGAGGTGTCTTGGTACTTGAGAACGCCTCCGGTGTTCTAAAATTGTGTGGTTAGTTGGAAATGCCATTTCGCAACTGAAAGAAAAAGGGAAAACTCATACCATTGTAGCCAAGAGGAAGTGGTATGGGAGAAACTCCATGTGTGTGACTTCGGAGTGTTTCCGCAGGCAATGTAATTCGACGCCATTGCGGTCGTATATGTAGACGTATTTCTTCTGCGCCACCGCAAAGAATTGGTTGTTATGCAGCCACTTGACATCCCGGATCGTCTCTCCCAGTTGAATCTCGCATCCGAGCTTGCCTTCTCGCCAGTCCATGGTCGCGACGTGGCCCTTTCGCCCGCCGAGCAGCAGCTCTCGTCCGTTCCTCGAGTAGTCACATAGATATGGACCCAGTTGATCTAGGTTGAGCTCGAATCGCTTCTTCGCCGTCTCGATCGCAACATTGGCCACAATTTCGTCTTGTCGGACCTTGTATGTTCGTTCCAGCTCTCCTTCGGCCTCGAGGAATCCGGATTCGTTTTCCAGCAAGATCTCGGCATCCTTGGCTTTGAGGGCTGCATTCTGATATTTGTTCTCCAGCTCTTTCAAATTCCTTCTGAGTTTCTTGTCTTTGATCTGTTTGGTGTTGATCTGCTTTCCTCGGCCATAGGCCTGGTTGGCTTCCCTTATCCGCCGGGCCTTTTCTCTCTCTGCGCGAGTGGCTATGTCTGTTCGTCGCTCTTTGGTGACAATTGCATCATCCTTGCGGGCCGTGGGAGGCCGCGCGACGGCTGTTGGAGCACCCATTGTGCTGGTGTGACCTTTGGGCGATTTCCGTGATCAAACTAGAGAAATCAAGACGTCGGGTCCTGGGCTATGAAGGTCGCAGACAAAATTTCCAGCGCCCAGACTTTGTCGCGGCCTATCGCAGTGCTGCTATTGGCAGAGCAAGAATACGCTAGCCCACCGCGGTTATCGATAGCGAGCCACAACAAAAAATTCTCGATAACCAAGAAAACCCCACCATCGAGATAATCGATTCTGCATTTTGTCTTGCGCTTCGTATAGGCTAATCTTGCGAAACCTTGAAAGATTCGCATTAGAGTAAAAAATTGCCGAAAAATTACTTGCTATCTGGCATTTCGCAGCATAACAAACTGGCATCGCTACCGTTTCGGTTCAAGGCTGGGGGCGACGCAAACATGTCCGCCGTGGCGCATCATCATCGGCCCACGACAAAAGTCACCAACAAGCCATTCAAGTCCAAGGCTGCTTCCAAGCATGAGTTGAGGGATCGCGCAAAAGGTGCGGATACCTGATTGCGTGGAATTGAACTTTATTTCTTTCTTGCCTTGGCTACTTTCTCCCATATGTTGCACACAGCCCTAACATTGCATTCCACAGGCCGAGTCCCAAACGAAAAAGGATCGCGCAAAACTCCCCACCAACAAGTCATGTCTAAATTCGACCGACGAAACCAGGCGAAGCAGAATCGCCTCACGAAGCACAGAGAGCATCTGAAGGAGACGTCGGTTTTCTCTGGGAAAGATGCAGCCCCGAGGATTGCTGCCGTCATTCCTCTTTGCGCTGATGGCGACGCCAAGGCAGCCATTCAGTCGCTGAACAGCAGCGTCGATATCGAGACCGATCTCAGCAGCAACAACCTCCAGGTGACAGTCGACCGTTTCAAGCAGAAGCTGCAATATGTTGCCCTCACAAGGGACCTTAACGCTTGCTTGGATGCCGCCAGCGCAGCCGATTTCGTCATTATTGTTCTATCTGCCTCCGTCGAGGTTGACGCATTGGGAGAGCTGATTCTTCGAAGCGTCGAGAGCCAAGGCTTGTCGACGCTGTTCACGATGGTACAAGGGCTTGATAAAATTGAACCAGCAAAGCAGAGACCTGGTGTCATGACCTCGCTTAAATCCTTCATTACTCACTTCCACCCCGAGCAAGAGAAGCTATATAGCATCGATAACAGGCAGGACTGTGCCAACCTTGTGCGATCCCTCTGCAGCACAACCCCCAAGGGCATCAGGTGGAGAGATGAGAGGAGCTGGATGCTGGCGGAGAGCGTCAAGTTTGCATCGAACGACTCAGAATCTACAATTATCACCGGTGTGGTTAGGGGTAAAGGGCTGAAGGCGGATCGACTGATACAGGTCGGCGACTGGGGCACATATCAGATCGAAAAAATTGTCGCCGCCCCTCTACCGAAGCACATCAAGAAGAAAGGAGAAACGACGGTTGAGACTGAGGAAGAAAAGGTTTTGGAAGAGCCCTCTGAGGATCGAGATGGTCTGGATCAACTCGCGCCTGAGGACGTTATGATGGATGCAGAAGATGACGCCGCCATGTCTGTGGCGCCATCAGAGAAGAAGGGTGTCTTGCTAGACGAGCATCATTACTTTTCGGATGAGGAGGACGAAGCGACAGCTGGAACGAAGAAAGTACCCAAGGGAACCTCAAAATACCAGTCCGCTTGGTATCTGGATGATGTGTCGGACTCCGGCTCTGATATGGAAGATATGGAGATGGATGACGAAAACGCTGAAGAGGAGGAAATCGGTCCTGAGGATGGTATGGAAGGCTTTGCCCAGCCTGAGCCCACAGAAGCCGCTGCTTCGGAATATCCCCAGTCTGAGATGATGGAGCCCGATGAGGATGAGGATGCTGTTCAGTTGGAGCAGTACCGAGCACGGAAGCGTGATGAGGCTGAAGACGACAGAGAGTTCCCTGATGAAGTTGAACTTCACCCTAATGTTCTGGCCAGAGAGAGGTTGGCTCGATACCGTGGTCTGAAGAGTCTCCGAACTTCACCGTGGCAGGAAGATGAGGATCGAGCTCACGAACCAGAGGAATGGCGTCGATTGCTGCAGATTCCTGACTACAACTCTTCGCGATCAAGAGCGACCCGTGAGGCTTTGGTTGGTGGTGTGCAGCCCGGAACTCGCGTTCATGTCTATGTCAAGGGCATCCCAGCCGCCGCAGCGCAGTCCTACAACCCCAACTCCCCAGTCACATTAGTTTCCTTACTCCGTCATGAGAACAAGAAGACTGTGGTCAACTATCTAATCAACCTCAGCTCTGATTATACTGCTTCGATCAAGGCCAAGGAGGAGCTGATTGTCCAGTGCGGCCCTCGAAGAATGGTTATCAAGCCTCTCTTCTCACAGTCTGGCTCGACGCCAAACGACGTACACAAGTATTGCCGATACTTACACCCTGGCCAATCGGCCATTGCCACATTCATGGGACCTGTTACGTGGGGCGCTGTTCCTGTCTTATTCTTCAAGCGGACAGTTGCGGGTGCAGATGTTGAGGGTGAGGGCACATCAAACGCCGGCCTGAAGTTGGTTGCGACAGGCACAGCTCTGCCTCCTTCAACATCTCGCGTTGTTGCCAAGCGCGTCATTCTCGCCGGTCACCCATACCATATTCACAAGAAGATTGTCACCGTTCGATACATGTTCTTCAACCGTGAGGACGTGGAGTGGTTCAAGGCTATGCCCCTGTGGACCAAGCGCGGACGAAGCGGCTTTATCAAGGAGCCTCTGGGTACTCATGGTTACTTCAAGGCGACGTTTGACGGACGCATCAACCCTCAGGACTCTGTGGCAATTAGCTTGTACAAGAGAGTTTGGCCGAGACATGCGGTTCCTGTTACTGGATCGTTGTTGGCAGCCGGTGCTGTTGTTGCTGAACAGGTGCAAGAGCTGGATGGAGATACCATGATGGAGTAATGGAACCGTTGCAGAAGACATGATGGCATATTCTAGAGCTTATGATTATTATGAAGGTTTTCTCTCTGATTATACATTATTATTTGTGTGCCCTACTCTTTGAAAAGGGAATTCTTTGATGTGTAGTTTGAGGCTGCAATTTATGAGCCTTTGAAGAAGCCGACTGCTATTTCTGACGATTCCATTTCATACTTGATAAGTGAAGACGCCAGGGTAATCAACGTCCCAAGCTGATCCAACCCTTCGCACCACCTCAACACGTCCTTTGTTATACTTCCATAGTTATCACCAGCGGTTGTGCTGCTGACAAGCTCCTCAGCAGACAACTGCTGCGACAGCTTGTAATCAGACAGAGTGAGGATCTTGTCAGCAGACCTGCCGCGGAGAAAAGCATTGTATCGCTTCTTCCATTCAAACGTGGAGGGGACTTCCCAGAGATCGCGGATACAGGGGAGGGGGGCATTGGCGAATTTTTGGCAGCTGCGGAAGTCTTGCTGGCGAAATCTGATTTCGAGGAATACTTCTACGGTATAGACGAGACATACTGTTCTAATTTGTGGACTGTTAGTGACGGAAATTTGAGAGGGGGAGGGGGGGAGAGAGAATATTGAGTACCTTCGTGTGGCTTCATAAAGAGCCCACGTTTTGCGATCCAGAGGGTTGTCGGGAGTGTCAACGAATGTATTGTACTCCACGGTGTTGTGTACTTTTCGGCAACAATGCTGTGTGATGTTTTGTTGGTCTACTGGCTTTGGAGAGGGTTGATGCAACGATGGGCTTACCATTAATGCAGCGAGAAGAAACCTGACGTCGTTTCTAACTATTGTGGCTGTGTCTTGTGCTTGGAGTAGCATGTACATCGTCATGGCCTGCATGGACTCGAGCGATGTCTCCATATCAAAGGACTCATACTGACATTGCCAACAAGTGGTGATTAGTTCACCAGATCTTTATATGAAGTAGTGTATAAGATGTGTAGTAATACCTCGCTATCCAGTCTGGCAATCTCTTTGTATATCGTCTCCCATATATAAGGACTGCTAGCCGGGGTTCTCTCCAGCCACATGCCTACCAGAGCCGCGCAGATACTTAATGTCTTTCCTAGACACTCGTGCCTTTGTGCTTTTGCACAATTATATGTCGAGCTGTCATCCAGAGCACATTTGCTGTGGATAAAGGGAGGGAGGGAAAGGCCGCTGACCATCAAAGCGGGATAAGCGCTCACCTGGCCAAAGATTGTCTTTGTTGCAAGGATTGCATTTGCAGTGAGGCCGCGGCGGCTGGTGAGCATGCAAGACGAAGAGTCGTGGGCGAGGACGTCTGAATGAGTGCCTGAGGCGTTGATGGGGTCACGAAGGTGAGCGTCGTCGGCCTCTGCAACAGCCGCATCATGACTCATGTTCATGTCGACGTTGCCCATGAATCTCATGACATTTTGACAAGGCTCTATCATGGACGCTATGGTAAATGCTATATCAGCCCCGAGACCGAGATCAGCTTGCATTGTGGCCGTCCAGGTATCAGAAGAGTCCACAGACGGGGCCAGGACCGGCGCATCGGCCTCAGGAGGAGGCGGCTGGGTGGGCATTGCCATGGATTCGCTGAGAGGAGCAACTTCTGGATCCGGAGGAAGACCAAGCTGCGTTGTTCCGTGCTTGGCGGGGACGCTGCGGAAATCCGTAACGCCATCATGCAGGCTCCCGGATCGGCCATTATCGGCAGTACTCATGATCGAGTAAGGGGCCATGCGCGGCATCGTGACGGCGGCGTATTCGCACGAGAAGCCCTTGTCGATGCATCGAGTGCAGCGGGGGAGAGTCAGGCTGCAGCGCGCTTTTGCCTTTCTGCACTGGACGCACGTTTTTTTCCTAGACATGGGCATCTTTGCCTTTTCTTCTACACGATAATATGACGATAATATAAAAAAATAGTGATATCAAAATGTAAGAGATGAGGCTTTGAGATGTCAAAGTCCGCAAAGGGAAATACGCGGTCATCAATGCGATTCAGTATTAGTCAAGGACGGGCGGATAATATCTCCGTGGTATCGGAGTTCGCGTGGGTCTCATGCCGGAGTTCAGGTGGATCTCGGTCAGGGGGGCAGCGAAGGCACCGCCATGGCTTGATTGATGGATCTGGTGGCGCCAGGTCGGCTTCTGAACGGGTTAGACACAGTCACGCAGTCGCAGTACAAAGATGGAAGCGGATTAGACTCGAGCGTATCGGCTTAGTTAATCGCCAAGAGACAAATTAATACGTGAGGGTCGGCGACGGTAGGTTCATTATGCCTGAGCGATACACGCCTGACGGAGTTCCGATTTTCTATGGATGGCATCATTAATAATGCGATGCTCGATGAAGACGCAATACAGAAAGACCGAAACCACTATGACTGAATATAGGATGTTACGGAGGAGAAAGGGGAGACGAGATCTCATGTTGTAAGTACAAATAGTCCCTCAAGCCCTTGGGCAGATGAATGAATGAAAAGCACACGCTTCGTCCAAAATACCATCGCCAACATCACTCCTCAGTCTTTCCAACACAACAAATAACAAGCAATCTCACATTTGTCTCTGCTAAACTATCGCAATGGCTCCTACTCGAGTTGGTATCATTGGTCTCGGTGCCAAAGAAGCTGGCCTTGTTGCCGTTGGATCTTGGGCCGCTTCTGCCCTTCTGCCATCCTTTCTTAACTCGCCTTACTACGAGATCACTGCCGTGTGCAACTCTTCCGTGGAATCTTCTCAGCGATCCATCGACTTCCACAAGCTGGGTCCGAAAGTCAAGGCCTACGGCACCCCGGAAGATATTGCCAACGACCCCAATGTTGACCTGGTGGCTGTGTCCATCAACGTTGGACATCACTACGTCGTGACCAAGCCTGCACTCCTGGCTAAGAAGCAAGTCTTTGTAGAATGGCCTCTTGGAGCAAACACGACAGAGGCAGAAGAGCTCACGCAGTTGGCCAAAGACGCCAATTTGAAGACTGTCATTGGCACGCAGTTCCTCTCTGATCCCGCTTTTGCCAAGCTCAAGGAGATAGTCGACAGCGGTGTCCTTGGCAAGATTACGAGCACAGAGGCTCACATTGCGCCCAACTATGGACCTCCCGACGTCTGGGGCGCTGATGCCACCTATTACTTGGATCTCAAGACCGGTGGCAACGAGTTCCATATTGCAATGGCACACTGTAAGTGAAATCTGACAGGTGAATCGTGGTTCGGGCAACAATAGAAGCTAATATTCACGAAAAAACATCAGTCCTTGCAGGTCTTCTGCATGTGTTGGGCGACTTTGCTACCGTCAAGGCATCCTTCGCCACCCAGTATCCCACAGTGAAGCTTATCAACACCAGCACTGGCGAGATTGTCAGCCCATCATACCCCAGAAAGGCCCCGGAGCACATGTTCGTCCACGGTGTCCTCAACAACGGTGCCCTCGCCAGCGTCAACTATCGCCGCTCACCTCATGCCATTGGCAAGCCTACGCAGTGGGTCATTAGTGGTACAGAGGGCGAGATCGAATTCACCATTGAAGGACCCATGCTGCAGATGGGTAGTCACAAGCGGGAAATCCGTATCAAGACGGCCAAGGATGGGAACGAAGCCAGAGTAGTTGCGTGGGAAACGGAAACAAAGACGCCGGCCCATGTTGAGGGCGTGGCATTCCCGGGTCAGAACACGGCTTATCTGTTTGAAGATTTTGCTCAGGGCAGGGCTCCCGATTTTGAATCCGCGTTGAGGCTGCACAAGCTTTTGGACAGAATTGTCAAGGATGCGAACCCCAAATACGATTAAGATGCTTGCGATGTCTAATATATAGATAGCTCGCATTCAAGATTACCTTTTTAGCGCCAACAAACCGGTCAATTTACTTTAGTCGTTATGAATGAGTGCCCCGAAGCTGAACAGAGAATGATAACAACAATAATAGCATATTTGCCTAACGCGAAGTGAAGTTACTCATATCTACAGAGGCATTCTGAGCTGTGAAAGCCATTATTATCGATATATATATGTATAAAATCCATGTTTAGACGAAACAAATGGCAAAACTGCATGTACCTACTTTTGGACTGCAACAGCCGTGCACTCGCAACCAAACAAATGCAAGTGCGTAATTTCGATAGCGACAACATGCTGGCTCCTTTTCAAGTGCCCGTTCGGCTAAGCTTCTTGGTGTGTGTTCAAGCGGAGAGCTTCAAAGGGCTTTGAGAAGTTGTCGTCGTAGGCATTCAGTGATGCAAGGGCACTAGCTACACCTTCAGAAGACGCCATTGATTCCTTATAGTATAATTATGAGACGCGTAATAGTCAATTTACCGTGGGATATTTAAAGAAAAATTGTTCAACTATAACTACGTAGATTAATAGTCTAAGAGTATGAGTCCAGAAAGTAAGGTAGTGCAAGCTAGCGTTGGTGGTTACATGTAAATGGAGTCGAGTTGTAACGGCACGCGATGTCGTTGTGATTGCATGCAGCTCGTATTTTGATTGCTGCTACATGTACATAAATACGGAGCATATTACCTGTGGTTAAAGCTTACAATTGACGAAAGCTATGGCTTCTGTAGCCTCCAATCCACTTTTAGTACAAGTAATCAAGGGTCTCGTATGGCAAAGAGGATATTGTAGCTGGCTAGATCATTTGAGGAAGTACGTTTCGTCTAGCTACATATACCATTGCGCGAGCCCTGGGCAGTAATAAGAGTGGTATGATATATTGATATAGAGGTAATACAACGACACTAACTTTATCCAGTGTGCTAGTTGAACGTCCAATGAGTAAGGCTTGAGTATTGATTCCATTGTATAAAGCACTGTATGTGCAGGAGCCTTATCAATCGATCATATGACAGATGACTGATGAAAATTGCTCCACTGCATTTCTAAAAAATTGAAATTAATCCATCAATCGCATCTTATCGTGAAAATCTCCAAGGCGAAAACATGTTCTCGGCTGCTCGCTAAGATATACCAGATTCAATCACTCGCAGCGTTTAAGTGGCCAATTTACGCTACGATATCGTGCTAGTTCCAGACAAGAAGCTACAGAAGAGTTGCAATCGGGCAAGCAATTGCTAGTTGCGGGAAATCGCTAAAAAGCGGATATTCGGGCGGTAATGGCATCGGCATTATTATCAAATGAGTTTCGAAGCATCGCAGCTATGACGATAGGTCCCTCTTAGCCTATCTCAAAATATACCCGTCGGATTGCCCGTCCTCAAGGAGCTGGAGCCTCATCGCCCGACAATAGTCCAAGTGCTGTCGATCTAGACTAGATTTCTCTTGTTTGAAGCTACATTCTTGCCGTCGTTAGTATTAGTTGATATTTACCCGTCGGCCTCACCCCGCATTTCGGCTTCATCTCCACGATCTTCAAGATAAAGATGCAGTTGTAGTGCATCAATTTGCATTATAAAAGCTTGATGCCAACCATGGACTGTTCAATCTTTGAATGGCGATGCAACATCCAGCAGTGGTCTCACCCAAAGCCGTTGTCTTCCTAACATGAAAGCCTAAACTGGCTTTCAACAGCTTCATACTTGGGACATTGAAGATTCTTTGGTCGGCTAATTCGCCTACCTCGCTTTATAATGAGACTCTTTCGCCTGGGGCTAGCCCGGCTTTCATTTCTCTTGATTGCCTTCTTCGTTGCCTCTTCTTATCAGACATGCACGTCCGACGACGATTGTAGCCTCAATGGCGTTTGCGGGAAAACTGGCGTCTGCAAGTGTGACCCGGCTTGGACTGGTGATAAGTGCAGTGCGCTCGACATTCGCCCTGCCAAACGACCAAGCGGTTACAATCTGACGGCAGAGGGCACATCATCATGGTGCTCCAAGATCGTCAAGGACCCATGGGAGAAGAATCTATACCATCTCTTTGCTTCCGAATTCACACACGGCTGTGGTCTTGACTACTGGGCTCCGTATAGCCGCATCATCCGTGCTGAATCTCACACGGGTCCTGCTGGCCCTTACACCTTTGCCGCTGAGGTTATGGGAACGTTCGCCCACAACCCGAATGTTGTGTACAGCCCGGCTGATCGAGAATGGCTCTTGTATTACATCGGATGCCCCACGAATGTGACAACAGACAGCTGCCAGTCACAGAGCTTCACCTGCGGACCAGGAAACGACAACAATGGAGAGAGTGGTATCTCCGTGCTCGGCAGCAAAGATCTCCGGAACTGGGATTTTAAGGGACAAGTGATGCAGGGCGACAATACAGGCGATTGGGATGCCGATGTGACCAACCCCGCCCCATTTCCCTTGTACGCCAGCTCTTGCTCGAGGACAGGCGCATACGCAAATGGCCAACACTGTGCTGGCCACACCGATGCTATGCTTCTGGTCTACCGAGGCTGTCCGTATAACTGTGGTGGCGCAGAGCAGATCAACGTAGCCATCTCGGAGACTGGCTTTGAAGGCCCTTACACAAAGATTGAGACAGATCCCATATTCGACGAGGGTAACGAAGATCCATTCGTCTGGCGCGATAAGCGAGGCAACTTCCACATGCTTTTGCATTCTCTCGAAGCAGATGGTGGTTTTGGTTCTGGACCAAAGGTTGGTCGACACGCCTGGGCCAAGAATTATACCGGGCCATGGACATTTGGCAACGAAACGCTGGCATTTAGCACCGAGGTGGAATATGATGATGGAACAACTATCAACTTTTACCGCAGGGAGAGGCCGGAGCTATACTTTTCGGATGATGGACTGATGACGCCGCTGTTGCTTACCACTGGCGTGCAGCCCCAGAATAGCCCTCAAAGCTACAGTATTATTGTACCTTTGGGAGATGCTGGAGCGAAGGCTCAGGGTAAATAATACTTTTGATGAGCAAATAATAAACTCAGTTTAATTAAATAGGGCTGACTGGCGTAGATTGCTTGACCTTGGCAAAGCAAATTGTAGCCCAGGTGATTGACACAAAGTTCTTGAGCTCTTTTGAGGTTCTCAAAAATTTGACCTTTTAAATATGTAGAGTCTAACTAGTCTAACTCGTAATTTCATTTCTCATTATCTTTTTAGACCTCCGAGCTTAGTATTAATATGCCAACAGCGTGATGGAGCGACAAGCTTTTGAGTCATTCTGTCTTAAAACCTGAGAGACAGTTTACAGCGCATATCTGAACGACGTATTCTCTTTGTCAGACAAGTCTTCGAGAGCTCTGTCAAAGGTAGGCGGTCCATAGAGCCTTGTCCGATTCTTGTTCTCTCTGTCCAGCATAACGCGACCCACTTGAGCAAGGAAGAAGCAAACAGCAAAGCAAACCAGAATACCTGTAAAACTTTGACTAAACGCCGGAGCGAATTTCCTGCAGGGGAATGAGAATTAGCATTTTGACAAGACTTCCTTGTAATGCATATGAAGCAACATTAGCTATAACTTACTGGTCGAAGAGCAAAGAACCGGTAACATTGCCCAGTGAATAACCGATAAAAGTTCCGGCAGCGTATACGGCCTTTTTGGTATAACCGCCCGTGTTCGAGGTTCCAAGGCCAATACATTGAACCCAAGCTGCTGAGAAAAAGTTGAGAAGGTAGAAGCCAAAGATCTTTGCGCCCTTATTATCGACTTTCCAACTGCAATGCGTATTAGTAATCCTTCTAAAGCAGAAATATGGAAGGGAATGAACATACAGTAATGAACACCCAAGAATCACCGGAAGACAAGACAATGAGATGATGTAGAATCGAGAGTCTTTCCAGTGTCTGCCAAGATATCCTGAGCCCAAGACGCAGATGAAAGCCATGGCTCCAGTTGGAAGATTGAGTAAGAGAGAAGTGTAAGCATCGAATCCCATGCCGTTGAACACGATGGACGCAAACTGAGTGACCACGGCTGCACCGGTGCAGCTCAATAGAGACAGAACAATAAGGCCCCAGAACTGATATTCCAAGAGTGCCTCTGTAATCTGGTAGAGCTTCACATTTGTGTTCGTGGTGCCTGCGTTATTAAGACGCGTGCGCTCAATCACGCGCTCTCTCTCGCTTTCTGTAAAGCCCTTGGCGAGTTCCGGAGTGTCGGGGAAGATGAAGAGTAATGCGATGCCCCAAAAGAAAGAAAGACCTCCTGCAAATAGGTACATTATCTGCCACGGGTGCAGACGGCTGCTCTGGATATGAGCCAACCCAAAGTTGATAACGGGAGAAATCAACAATGAGCCGCCGCTGAATGAGAACCAAATGCTAGATCGCAAGACTTGCTCCTGCTTCGTATACCACATGCCGACGACGAGCATAAAAATCGGGTTGACGCCGGCTTCAACGACGCCGAGGAAGAATCGATTTGCCAGAATGCCAGAGTAAGTCTTGCACGCAGGGGTTGTGAGCATGATGATTGACCACAGAACCGATAAAACTGAGCAAGCTCGCTTTGGACGAAACCGTTGAGCCAACAGCGAAGCGGGATACATGCCGACTACATGACCGAAGTAGAATATCACAGAAACCCATGAGAACTTTTGGCCTTGTGTCAAGCCCAGGTCTGTTCGTAGACCAAAAACGGCTGCTTGACCAAGCAAGCCTTTATCCCAGTACTAATTGCGAGTTTGTTAGTGGTTTGCTTTCTACGCAACTTGGGCCTCCGATTGTTCGAACATGTCAACGAATCGATCTATGACTTCTTACCTGAAGGGCAAATGTGATACACAACTAGAAACAAGTCAGTGAAATGATCGAATATTCAAGCTTGTTTTAGTAACTGGAACTTACCACTGGCATCAAGCGCCAGTCGATCTTTCGCAACAACGCCCGATCCGCATCCGTTGTAATCTCAATAGATGGGTCGCTCTCAGTAGACCTGTCTACCACGCCCTCAACCAATGATTCATCTTTCTTCTCCATTGTGGCAGACATGCAGCAATACTACAAGAAGGAGAAAAGAGACAATCACAGGAGAAAAAAAAAAACTTTCCAAGGGTAGGATTCGATGCTTGTCATAAGTAGGCAGTAGGTAACATTGGCTTATACAAAGACAGCGGCAGTTCGGGGTTGTCAAGTCCCACTCGGCTTCAGTTAGATCAGCACTAGTCTGCTTAAAGGCGAGACGGGTAAGCGGGTGAGCGGGTATCAAAAGGAACCAGGGACTGCAGAATCGAAATATACACGTAGAGGCGAAATATGAACAGCTGGTGGGGACGGTTCATTGCCGTTTCTGTGTGTGCGAGACCAATTTCTGTATGCCGCCGATCATCTCGGAGGTTGGGTCTTTTTTATATCCGCGAGTCAACAATATGTCGATCAGCAATCGATTCATTTTACTGTAAGACAACCCATAGAACAACAGCGTATGAGGGTTATTAACCCTAGGAGATCTAATATCAGTACTCTATCCATATCTTGGTGCGTAAATAATTAAAAAAGAAGCTTTTTGGGTCTATCTAGAGCTTATCGAGCGTACTCCGTACGGCAAATATGATTCTCAGTGTAATCGAGCGGCTATCTAATGCCGGATGTAGTGAGCTTTTAGTCAGAGACATGGTTCAACCTTGCCCCTTTGCCTCGCATCCGTGTTGGATTAGCAATCACGTTATGCTTGACTAATAATACCAAAAAATAGATATTTTGTAATAGACCTTGGCCTGAAATGCCTACGGATCGCGTAGACCGATGCTATAGACTAGCTACTTAAACATGGTATATTTTGCAGTTGATACGTTGAAGCACAGGCCTATTGTCTACCCCACGCTGGAGTTTCGCTCCTGGGCAATACACAAACCAGAGGCACATCAGCCAAGTCGGAAGCTCAGTGATCAGGATAAAGCAAAGCGTATGGGCACACAATTATCACTGCATATACGAAGCATGTAATAGGCCTTTCTGTACGCTATGACTGGCTAAAGCATGCAGAGAGCTGTAAGTGAACGAGCTGTGTAGGTTAATTATGTTCTTATCACAAACAATCCTATACAGTGCTTGTGTTATGCAAGTGATTCGAGAACAAGATTGAGCCGGGCTAAGTGCTGGGTTCACGCCCCCGAACATGAAGCTTATCTTCCGGGGATGATCAACCTCGGCATGGCCCGCAGATGCGGCGATACGCGGCGACTTAACCGTAAGCAGCTTATATACAAATAGTCAACAGTCTCATTCTCCAACAAGATGCTGGCCACAAACATCTGTGTATTTGCACTTAATTTTCCATTCCTCTAACATGATTAATAGACAAGTCTAGTTTATGTACGCTTTTAATCCTCGCAGTCTCTCCTTGGCAGCCTCGAGCACAGAATCGGGCTTGCATACGGCAAACCGCATCCACTGCGCTCCAATGTGCTGATTCGCTGGTGAATAGAACTCGCTGGGCGGAATTGCTGCCACTCCAAGCTCCTGGATCAGAAACCACGCCAGCTTGAAGTCTCGTGGGCGTTCCTGGACATGGGGTGGGAACGGGTAGTTCTCTGGGAGGGTCACTTTGCTCATGTTGACCACTACAAAGTAGCCTCCTTCGGGTTCTGAGTACGGCATGTCAAGCTCACGCCAAATATCGTTAAAGAGATCCATCTTGCCCTTCATGTCAGAGACGCACTCGTTCCAGAAGCCGTTCTCTTCAGCCTGTTCGAATCCTAAATGACTTGTTAGCGCATTGTTCACCGGATTGGATGTAAGATCGGAGCTTGAAACTCACCAATTGCAAATGCTTCCTGGAGCGGTGATGGAGAGCAATAGCAGATTCGTGCATGTGCTTTTGTGACATATTGTACAAGCTCCGCGGGTCCCATAACCCAACCTATGCGCCTAGTTAGCTCTGAACCAAACATTGTTAGAGTATTTGAGAAACTTGAAGACTTACCGACTCGCCAACCGGTGGCGTAAAAGTTCTTGCCCGCGGAACTCAGGGTAAGAGTGATTTTCTCAACCTCCGGCGATAAAGTCGCAATGCGAGTAAAAGGAACATAAAATAGTCGGTCGTAGACTTCATCTGATATGATAAGAATATTGTTCTGAACGCAGACATCTGCAATTAATTTGAGCTCCTTGGGGGTAAAGATCTTTCCCAGGGGGTTGTCTAAGAGTTGAGTCAGTTGGAAGCCACGCTTTGCGGATACAGCGACTACTCACGAGGTGTATTTAATACCAGCATTCTCGTCCTAGGAGTGATGGCGTCTCGGAAATCTGCGATATCAAGGCTCCAATCACCGGCGGAATGTGTTTTTGTCATGCCAGACTTTGGTGGTTGTAAGGGCACAGAGACAACCTTGGCGCCCGCCATCTCAATATTGCTGATATATCTGCTACCCGTTAGTTTATAAAACAACAATCATTTCAATGCTTGTAGCTCAGACAGCATTAGATAGTGCGCTTACTGGTCGAAAAATGGTTCTAGTAGTAGAACTTCGTCGCCCTCCTGGAGGAACGCCATACAACAGCTCAAGAAGCCTTCATTGGCGCCAGTAGTAATTGTGATTTCTGTTTCAGGGCACAGCTTGCGGCCCCAAAAAGGAGAATATGCGTTGGAAATAGCCTCTCGCAAACGAGGCCGGCCCTTTGGAGGAGCATACTGATTGCAGTCGAGGCGCTCTACTGCGCTCTTCGCTGCGTCTATGAGGAACTGTGGAGGATTGTAGCCGAAAAAGCCCTGTCCCATGTTTACCACGGGCTGATTAGGTGTAGTTGCGGCAGCAGCGTTGATAATGGACCTAAAGGCAGCTATTAGTGCATCGCAATGAAAAGAAAACACTTGGTTGAGTCACTCACCACACATCCATGGTAGAGCCCGCCACCCGCGGAGCCGGTTGGATCGGGGACTTTGTCCCGTTCTTTAATTGAGCCATTTGTGCTGTGATTGATCGGTTTTTTCAAAATTGAGATATATTCTTCAGCATTCTACACCTGGAGTCGATGGCGGCGCGGCGGGCTGACCTGGCCTGCTTTATATCTATCGCACAGCTAGTAATGAAGTCGCTCCGTAGACGTCCGAGAGTGAGCTCGCGTCTAAAATCTGACGAGAGTGGATTGATTTTGCCATCACTAGATTCTCAGGGCCGCGCGCACTTGTGCCAGCTTACCGGCTGTGTTGACTTGTTTGCTATCATGACTCAATGCTACTGGCTCGCGTTCAGGCGTTATGGGGGCATTTATATTGCCGCCATCTATCTTACAGTCATTGAAAACTCCGGTCCCTTATTTTGTTCCACTATGTATGCTAGCTGCGCTCAAGATCCTAGCTTTTCAACTCCCTCTTAATGTAGAAGTCAGCTACTATTTTACTAGCTTCATGGGAAGTCTCTATTTTCGACAAATACCAAGAGCAGTAGTTGCTCATCGGAGTCGATACGGAGGTTGAATCGGCCCATCAAGAATCCGCAACCGTCACTTGCGCTAACACGATGCCAAACTTTGATGAGATATGTTTCGCCCTTGTGGCTCTAAGACAATATGCTGACTAAACCAGCCACGATACCACTGTGTAGACGATGTTGGTAGTAATTGTTTACCACGAAGTGTCTCAAGAAGGCACGCAACTATCCTTTTTTTTTTTTGTGCATCTGTAATGTTGTACGATGCTTAGGCTCTGGTATACATCGGAGAAAAGTAATGAGCAATTGTGAGAGCTAAAGACAATGAAGCACAAAACTCCGATTTTCGGCGGCACATGTAATCGTACCGTGAGCCGGACCCTCGGATCGGGTCTGACTACCTATTAGGTAGTTTAAAGAGTTGCTTAGTTCGATTCAACGAGACTGGGGCGAACCATCTTCTCCGAGCTAACAGTAATACGTAGCCATCCGTGCTATAGACTGCACACGTTGATCCGCCACCTATTCCACCCAATCATGGGCCGGCCATGAATCGTATCACGGAGTAATAAGGCTGAGGGTATTTGTTCCTATGGAAACGTTTCGTATTGTGCTGGCTCCTTTAGAAAGATCGGATATATAGCTTCCAGCAATCGTCCCACTTGCTCCGCTAGCTGCGCTTGTAGGCATGTAGTCTGCAGGATGCTAATTTGTACGTCTCACTTGGAACTAAGCAGGCTTTGATAGGCTATTCCAACAATCAAATTGCCATAATTGGAAGCCTGGTGTTGCGTCTTGGAATCCCGCCAATACCACATGCAGCGAGCTATTAGCAACATTTCATCGCGACAATTGTCGGAGTACCACTTTAAAATACGTATAGAAAGGGCTTTTGATGGTACATGATCTTTAGACTTACATATTGAGGCCTTCAAATTTATACCTACATTCAAACGAATCACTCTACATTTATCTTCCATTACTATTTTTGATCGTAATTTGAGCTATTTGGCCTTGTCAAGGAGCATCCTGCATTGATAGCTGAGACTTGACGGCTAAGATTACCGTCTCGGCGAATACGCTGCGTGACTCTGCTTTTGTGAACTCACTGGTTGTTTTCTACCAAATTGCGCCAACAATTTCGTTTTAGCGGTTTTTGCTTCCATGCCTATATAGATCTCGACGGGTGTAGATCATCAACGCATTTAGGAATGCTGTTCCTTAAAATATGTCACTTTTTAATTGGTTCTAACTGGTCACTGGGTAGCATGACCTAGTAAGTTTGTCCAGCCGTTGTGTTTCATTCATCTGGTCGCTTGATGCTTCTCATTGGAATTGACATGCTGATTGTCTAAGCACTAACAGCGCCACGCATGTACTAAATTCTCTCACCAAGCGCCATCAACCCTCTATCTAATGATATTCTCCCCATCATTCTCATGTGAAAAGAATTAAACGAACAGGTCTTATTTCACTCTCATCAGCTTAGCTACTAATCTTTCGCTAAATACGGCCCGTATGGTACATATGAACATTAGACTCTTCATCAAGAAACCCTAACCTCTGCTGCGACATTAACGCGTTCTTCATCGGGGATACCGCCTTTGTAACCATGTTCATGTGCAATCTCTAAGACCTTTTGTTGAATACACATTGCAGGGGGCCTGCTTTCAAAATTGCCTGATTAACCATATCTCGGTGAATTGAGGTCCCATCTTCGCCAGGAGCAAATTTGAAGTCGTAATTCCAGACTGTGTACGCTATTGTGAATCGCAGTACGATCATAGCTAGTCTCCTCCCTACACAGTTGTATGGGCCGAGCAGGAAGGGGTGGAATGCCCGCTTGTCGATAATAAGCTCAGGCCGTGTCGTCCACCTTTCTGGGATAAAGCTATTTGGCTCTTTAAAGTATTTTGCGCCTGTTAAGATTGCGGCGGTTAGAAATGAATTAGATTAAATGACTTGATGATAGTTGTAAGGCTGGATATGGAAGGGTAAGTTCCAGCGGATACTCACTTGTGTGCATAGAATGAATAGGCACAAATATTAATGTTTCGCCAGGAATGAAAACGCCATCAATTTCCAATCCCTCAGGCGGTGTCATTCGAGGTCCGTTGGCGCAAGTTGGATTGTCCATTCTCATCGTTTCATTAATCACGGCGTTCAAATATGGCGCCTCAGCTTCGCCCAAGTCAAGGTTGGTAAATTCCCCAGATACTGTACGACCGAAGAGTGACTGTAGTTCTGAACGGAGCTTGTCTCGAACGGTGGAATCTCTTGCCATATAGTAAAATACGAATGACAGTGCGGCTGCAATCGTATCAGTTCCACCAGTCATAACAGCCTGGGCGTCCGAGTAAATGACGTCGATATGGTGCATAGCTTTGGGTTCCTTGGAGTTGTAGTCTTGGAGAAAATATTTCATAATATCCTCATGTTCGTCAGTTGCTTGCTGTACTGGTATCAGTATGCCGCTTGCAAGATATATGGTGCAGATATTGCGCATCGCAGTACCTACCTCTCTCCTTTTGTCCACCATCTGGCAAGCCAACTTTTGGAAATTGATATGATCCTTGCTACCGCCAAAGGTTTGCAGCAATGCAATTGGCCACCATATCAAACCAAGCTTGGCAAGAGTACCAAGAGTCACTTCGAGGTATTGCAGCATGGGATTTTCTTTGCCAGCTTTGATTGATCCGAAACTGGCTGAAAATCCCATCCGGCCCATGTTATCAAATGGTATTAGAGTGGAATATAGTGAGGTATTGATGGGTTGGCCCTGAAGAGATTCCAATTTCTCTAGCCATTCGTATACTACCTCGCGGGCGTAAAGCTCGTATGCCTCTAGAGCTAATGATGTATAAAGATCTTAATACTGGAGAACAGCAATTTTGAACCGGGCTCAACTGACATTTCGTACTAAAAGCTTTGTCCCAAATCTGACGTCTCCAGCGATGTTCGTGGTGATTCAGGATAGTGTCAAGATTTGCATGACCGTTATAGTTCACAGATTCATATGGCGAATTCCGCTTTGAACATGCTGATCCTGCTCCATGTACCTTATGCTGAGCGTCTATCGATAGAGCCATGAGCTCATTAGGACCTATAATGTTCCATGAACGCGTCAATCTCAATTCCATATGATTACTCAACTGAAGGCTTACCAATTCGAACAATGTCTCCGTATTCTTCGAAATGCTTAGACCAGCGAAGGTGAGACTTTCCGTTCAAAGCTTCATATGGCCCATACAGTTTGGTGATCTTTGCTGCAAACGGACCGGGAAAGCGGCGCGTGCGATGAAAAAAGATGCGATATACTAGGATACTACTAAAAAGTCCCAGAAAATAAGACGCCGATATGATGCTAGCATTCGAGGCGCCATGGACCACCCCCTGTGAATGAATACAGCGCACCAATAGCAAGCATATTGCGATGAAGTAGAACCCAACAATTTTGGGAGCCTCCCAAGCCCTGTGTCCATGAATGAAATGAATAAGATGGGACAAAATACCACCTGATGCCGAGGCAACGGCCAGCATGACAGGCCTCATCGTTAAATTTCGGTACAACTCGTGAGGTTGGCTCTGTAAGTTCAAAAGGCTTTGGTGAGGTACTGCTGCAGACTGATTGAAAACAATTGAAATCCTGCGAATGAGATAGGAAGAACGTGGGCTTTTAAGAGAAAGTGTGACATGCAAGGGAGAATATAAGCACGGCAGAAAGTGTATTTCTATAGACGTCAAATCTGAATAATCATGAGCTAGGATAAGCTGAGAGTCTAGGCCTATAAAACTGCTTGAAAAAGCCTAGAGATGCAAAGAGGGGATAACAGGCCGGACGATTAATTAGCACAGACTAAATTTGGGGCTTTCAATCAGAGACAAGTCCGCTGTATTTTATTCAACGTATAACACAAGCTATATTGCTCCCGTCTGAGACGTTAAATGTTAGGGCTTATTCAGAATGACTTATAGGCCATTCTGATGCCGTCCTGATTAAACTTCGGGTTTCTTACCTTGAGCCCAGCCTAAAGCTTTATCGACGGGATAGATATAGTTTTTTCCTCATTACTCCACATTCCTATTTCAAACTTTCTACAATTAAAATCCCTCGTAATATATGGGGCTGAGTTTGGTCTGAGACTTCTTGCTGCTGAATTGATGTGATGACGTATCCGTACAGCTGGCAATGAGCGCTCAACTCAGCCACAAGTAGTTCCAACCGGTAAATTGATACGTCTACACTGTCAGGCTCAGTGGCTCAATCATAATGCTCAGTGCTTTGAAACTTGAGATTATACAGTATATTCCCGTAGAATCTTAAATCTGAAAAAGGCATTTGCTGATGCTGATTACGCGAATCGAATCCCGCCAAAGACATGGCTCCTGTGACTATATAAGCCCTAATTTGCTCGGCAATTGGAACATTCGCCAGCTTTGTTATCTATTAACAAATTAGAACATTTGCCATTTGTATTACAGCTCTTCATCAGAGACTGCATCACAATTGCAAAATTTTCCGACTTAGACCGAGAGTAATATTGTCAAGGCACAAAAGCACTCGAGTTTCGAGCGTAAATATAATAATCTTCAAAACTGAACAATAAATTGAACTTTGCAAAAAGCTATCGTAACCTTGCCAGTATGTGCTCACAAAATTTGGTGACTCTGAAAACCACGAATCATTTGTGCTCTCGTCGGGACCTATAACTCAAACACAGCTCTATACCGGACCGCATTTGCTTCCAGGTCACTGACAACCTTTTGGAGAGAGCCAAGATTTTCGAGTTTGGTGACTTGAACCAGAGGTTTAACCTCGTTTTTGGCTGCAAACTCGAGCGTCTCAGCATGCAATCCCCTAGAACCAACTAGACTTGCATATACACGATACCCATCGAAGAACATATTGCGCGTGCTTGAAACTATCGTTAGTAGACGTTCAGGTCTAAGTATTCATGCCATCATAAACATCGGGGCTTACTTAAGATCCATAGGTCCCATTGGAGCAGTCAGTGGCACGATAATGCCGTTTCTCGACAAGAATTCTTTTGTCATTGCCCTACACGGATGTTAGCCACGCATGTTGAATAAAGAAGGAACAAATTGACTTGAATAAAGTGTGATGAAGAAGCAATTTACATACTTTTCAAAATCGGGATAGTAGCTTCCAGTGATGACCAAGACGTCTACTGGAGCTTTGATGGTTTCGTACATGGTACTGACAAGGTGGAATTCACTGGCTCCCCATGCGTGTGCTTCCTGCTCTTTGTCTGCCGATGTACTGTAAACAACGACTTCGGTGCCCATCTTGGCAGCGAATTGAATTGCAAGGTGGCCAAGGCCACCAATTCCGTAGATACCAACCCGCATACCAGGCTCGACCGTCTCCCTGAGAGCAGCGTATACTGTAACGCCAGCACACTGGAGAGGAGCAGCGTCTTCGTTAGAAATGTTATCCGGGATCTTGTGCAAAAACGTTTCCTTGCCGATATAGAATTGGCCAAAGGTACCATTGTCGTAGTCTCCTTCACCCAAGACAATACGATTATAGCAGTAGATATCTTTGCCTTTAAGACAATACTTGCAACTGCCACAGGCATCTCGATGGAATCCACCACCAACCCGGTCACCAATCTTCAACTGCATCACGTCAGAGCCAACCCCTTCAACATTTCCGACTCCTTCGTGCCCTAGAGCAATGGGAGCACCGAGTTTGACAAATGCTATATCACTTGCGCAAAGACCACTGTGTGTAATGCGAACAACAACATCTTTAGGGCCCAATTGCGGAATTTTGGTGTCATATGCAATGATGCTTCCATCTTGAGATCGGTAGCCTCGATATTCTTTCCCAACGAGACTGGATTGAGCCATGGTGATAGGATGAGTTTTTGTTTCCTTTGTTGGCTGCTGTGAACTTGAGGCCAAGCGTTATAAGAGGTTTTATGTATTTTGACTTGATTGTCGAAAACGGGAATAAGTATTTGGTTAATGATTGAAGAATTGAGAGGCTGCCTCTGACATATATAGCTGTTGTTCAGAAGCGCTGAACGATGCGAATAAACTGCGTTTGTGTCTTTTCGACAAGATTAGCTTTCATATAGCAAGTAATCAAAAAATTTATAATAGATAAGATTGGCAATACTAGTCGTAGAATAAGGAATCAATCGGCATGATGATCTATAACTTAACCTATTTATTTGGCATACAACTTTTGAGTAAGTCGCTTTGTAATCCCTCCATCAAGATCAAGATCATAGCACGATTCATAGACTTGTGTGAGTGGGGCAGTGCATTTTATACTACTACTTAGGGAGCTCTCTCCGACGTCGATTGGCTATATTGGCATGAATATCCTCGAATTGATCTTCTGATTCCATCCGTTTCCGATACGATGTGACTTCGTCACAGGATCATCCGAGGTGACAGCTTACAGCGTATTATAGTTATAAAATGAACATTTAGTACATCTAGGAATCTTGATTATATGGTTATGTTGGAAAAATACTAATGGACAATGCAAGAAATATGGCCTCCGGTAACGACATTGTATCAACTCTATCATATAGACGATAAATTCGCCAAAGCCTCAGATTAGTAATTGTAAAAAGATTAGATAGCCTGATGCAGAATCTGTCCATCAAAGGAAGATTCCCTCACCTCCGGTTCGAATACTATACCTAACATTACGTTCACATTCGATTTGTTCACTACAAAAAAGCAAAGAAGGGAGCATAAAGGAAAGAGAGTGTGGCAGAATGGATCATAATAATATCGCAAGACAAACAAATACCGTAGCTTTGCTTTAACCACGCCAATCGCATCGCGCATTTAAACCAATAATCTGATTCTCTTCGTACTAGCAGCCAAATGAATCTAGAACTTAATCGACTATTAACCAGTATTAAGTAGACTACAACTACTACTTCGAGTTAATGCTTTCTTAGTGGTGCCTACCTCGGATTAAGGCATTGGCCAATGATCTGCTAAGATTATTAATCGCTGCGCTTTCCAACCGATTTGCCGAGGGGACTCAAAAAGATTGGTTATATCCTTCCCATATATTGACAAGCAGCCTCTTCGATATGTAATTCAATCTATCTGAGAGCGGAAGTTTCCGTTAACTTTCGCAGGGAATACACGATGGATTTGCATCGCAAACACTTCCGCTCCGCCAGTTGTCGCGCTCAGCAGCATGTATATAGCACGTTGACATGGAGATGCTGCGGAACAAGCCGAAAACACATCCTACATTTTACCAATCATCGCCGCAAGCCACGTCCTTGAAAGCAAGCAATTCTCATTTAGGAATGTTACGACTATGTTGTTCTAAGCCGTGATGAGACAATTAGTGATCACAATTGATTTCACATCCATTGTGGCATTGTAATGTATGCAGAATTATAGTATCTATACCAAGCTGCGAAAGTTTTACTAAGTCCAAATACTCTCTCTCTCTCGCCTGCAAATCCGCATACTGCCAACAACACTGTCTCTGAAATGTATATGTATAAGTTCATTTCCGTGAAAAGGTAAAGTTAAGTTATTTGGATAATCTCATACTCTTCTCCATCATACCTAGACCGCCTTTGCCTCATTCCAAACACCCACAAACTCTTTTCCAATTACCATCCGACGATCATCTTCTGTAAAAATCTTCTCATCGGGATTCAGCTTGACTGAAAAATCAGGATCGGCAAAAGTTGCTTTTAAAGAATCCATGTCGGAAAAAATAGCAGTAACGACAGCATCGCAGTCAATGCTACCTATAGCGCCGCCGAACATTGTTTGGATGCTTTCTTTGTTCTCGCCAGTAATGAATTGCTAAGTTGCACGTTAATAAACGCAAAGCTTCTTTTTTAGCAATAACTTACCACTCCGTAATACAAAACTCTGTGTCTATTCAGAAGTTCTGCGACCATAGGTATATGGACTTTGGTATAATGCTGTTCGAAATCTTCGTCAGACATACCTTTCTTTTTGGTAACAAGAAAGGTAGCCTTTATGCCTGTCTGGAAGCCGGTAGTCATCTTGTCTGTTGCTGATAAAGTTCTTATTCCTCTTTCTTTGATATGGAAATTTCGATCTTCTTAAATATTTCTCTGGTTAACTTGTATTATCGCCTTTCAACCCACCCTGGTCCCGCCTGCAAGGGCTATGTCCGCACGAATCCGTATTACCGGTTTTTGGCGGAGTTTGCATAGCAAATGCAAATAAGTGGAATTTAACTCCCGAACAACTCTTCAATATGTTGTCCCTTGTCAGCAGCTTATTTGAACGAATGCGGAGTCCGATAATGGTGATGGTAGCTACAACAGATCAGGTACGCGGATTATCAATACCCACTTGCATAGGCAGTTTACTCATCCAAATTGAGACTCATCAGTAATAACTCCGCTATATTTCATGTTGTTTCAATGTATTAATTTGTCTCGTCTTATATACCAGAGCTACATATTAATACCCCTTACAGAGGAGGGTTAAAGTACTGTTGAGTTTCTTACTGCGCGATCGCTACCCTTATTATATGGAGTTCCTGTTTGGCTGAACATCTTTAGCCTTGCGATAATCTCAAACTCTCATTTGAACACTCAAATCGGCTGTCCTCTTACACGCTAACGCCCTCCACATGATATCCTTTATTTGCGTTTACTTCGTACGCCGCGCTTAGGCACAGATATCTTCAACAGGAAAAGAAGAGAATCGCAAACCAATCCAGAGCTAGTCTTAAGAGAAGAAATCCGGAAGATGCCTCGTGTATCTCAGAAAAGAGCTGGCTCAAAGCCTTGAAAAATTAGTTCACACGAATCTAAACATGTCATTCACGTTGGGAGTCTCATCTCTTTAAGCTGACTGCGGGGTTGGCAGTTCAGCTGTCAAGTGTGCCCAATCCTAGCCCGATCAGGTCCATAGTTGTCATTCTGCAGACTGTTGCTAGCGCTAAGAACGCTGTGTGCTATCCTGTGCTCTATTGCAAAGCAACTGGCATTTATACAACTCAACCAAAGCCTCGAGTCAGAGCTTTTCTTTTTATTGTAACCCTTTGAGCACTTGAAACAGTTATCGGTAATGCACTATGAAACGTTGGCACAGCTCTTCTTGCGATAGCCCATCGGTTATTGTGAAAAACGAACAGCCGCATTGTCACGCATGCAATACCGAATGCAATCTGAAAGATTTAGCCAGCAACAGCGGCTCGCAGAAAGGTTTTAGCTTTTCAATTCAAAATGAGCCGCCAGGTCAGCTCAATCTAAGTTGGCCACCATCTGTTCCTTACATCGGATTGGAAAAACCAGGCTTATCGCTTCCGGTCAATGTACAGAACTTAGATTCTCAACAGGATACTGAGGAATTCCTAAACTATGGGAAAACTCTTGAACTGGATGAATTCAGGCTAGCCTGCCTCACAGCGCCAGAGAATGATGACTATCCAGTCCATTTGACGCTGGAGACTTACAAACACACAGATTGTCCCGAATTTGAGACAGTGTCATATACCTGGGGCGGGGAAGATGGTGACCACGTCCCATCTCAGCCAGTGTTTGTGGGCCCATACTGGGATGTCATTTTCCAGACAAGAAACTGTTGGAATATGCTTCGGTCTATACGCCCTTGGAGAGGTGTAAGGATGGTGTGGGTAGACGCCCTATGCATCAACCAAAATAACATCAAAGAACGTGGAGATCAGGTTGCGAAGATGAGGCAGATTTATGAAGAGTGTGCTCGGGTTATTGTCTATCTGGGCCCAGATATCGCGCTTCCGGCGCAAGGGCAATTCCCACATCGGCGCAGGCTGGAAGAATTAGATCAAGATCTGGGCCACCTACACAAGTCATCTTCTGACGACGAGAAGTTAGGGCAGATTGAGGTCGCCATGAGGACTCTCTTACATAGAAGATACTTCAGCCGCGTCTGGGTCATCCAGGAACTGGTAACGTCGCAAAGGGCTGTAATGCGAATTGGAGACACAGAATTTGCTATGGACAATACAACTGCTTCTCGACTGGAGGACGCCAGTACAGACTGGAGCTGGGATCAAAGTGGAGCGCCGTGGCTTCAATATATGACGCAGAAATCGATCCAGGTAGAGGATCTGTACGGAGTTTTGGCAGTTACTTCGAAATCGCATCGCACGCGACAGATCTACGAGATCGACTGTTTGGCGTTCTTGGTCTAATCCGAAGAGATGATAAAGAAGCGGCATCATGGCTGCCAGACTATTCTCTATCGGCCCAGCATATTTTCGTTGGGCTCTTGGCTCATCTTATACTCAATCTCAAGAAGACGCACCTTCTTCTACATGGCTCTACATTGTATGCAACGACATCTTCACCCTCGTGGACTCCATTGTGGGAGTCAAATGAAACATGGCAATTCCTTTTACTGCTGCAGAAGTCAATGGGAACGAAATGATTGGCTGCATTGGCCAATTTTTCTCTGCCGAAAATAATTGCGCAGAGACTCCAAATCTGTTCACATTGGAAAACTTTGAAAGCCCTCAACATCTTGGTAAAAGAGACACGTGTAATAAGTGGTTGGCCGATACTTTCCACTTAAGACCATGGGATCAGGATATTGCCATTCATTCAGCCACTGGTGCCTTGTCTATCCACCTAACTCACTTATGCGCAATCCCTTCAACACCAGTTGCTGTTGGAGAGATTGGAGCCTATAGAGTCTTTCAAGTGGCTGGACCCAAGGCTGATATATTTCTAGCCTCGAGCAATCCTCTTGATTCAACGGTCAAACCAGGGCAAGACCACATATTTATGCTCATTACTGACGACTTAAAATTGCTATATTTTATTCTGAGAGAATCGGAGGGCGCAATTTGGAGCCGAGAATTACAGATTAGTAGGCGCCAGTCTATCCAAGTTCGTTAAAATTTCCAACTACCAGCTTTGGAACAGATGGATTGAGAATCTATATTGTACGATTACACGGATCCGAGAGCTTCTGGATAATGCATTTGAAAACTTTAACACTCGCTCAATAAGAGCTTTCTTTCCCTTGGCTAGTACCGGGTGGGATATGTTTCCAGCTTATCATGGCCTCTACGACCCAGGGGTTGATTCCCGTTCAAACTTCGAAAAAGCCTTTCTCTCATGCTTTGAAGCTCGTTTCAAAGCAAGCGTCGTAGATGGTTTCTTCGAATGGGAAGTTACACGAGGCAAAGATGGTTTGGGGAGATACACGGATCAGTTGTTCCTGCAGAATACCGATTACACAGATTCTTGCGACATAGAAGGCTTCGAAAAGCTCATGTGGAATGGACATTGGCAGCCGGTCAAGAGAAAGATTGAGCAAACTAAGGTCTCAGAGAAACATATTTATTCAATTGAGACGACGCCGCTGAGCTTGAACAGGACCTTTCGGCTACGAATACCGGTTGATACAGTGGAAAAGGCAGTTCGATTCTTCTTTGCTCAGGTAGAGAGAATCCGGCGATGTATGAAGAAGAACACCAAAGAGGTAGAAGCAGTTCTTCGGGGAGAGCCGAGCGATCAGTATCGTTTTGTAGGATGCCCAATGTTTCCTGAGATGGAAAAAGGGTTTTGCCTTGATGGAAGCACGAATCAGGTTCACATTCATTAGCAGACGGTCGTTTCTTACAAATCTCTACTTTTCATCGCTACAGCGATATAGAGTGGAGTGAAGATGTGATTTAACACACGCAAGATTCGGTCAGCCACTAAGGCGCTCCCAACGCACCACTACTCTGCTCCGCGCAACGGCATCCCTGCCTTTTTATAGATGCCATCAATAATCTCCATAAGCTTCACACTTTCATCCATATCAACCCAAGGCCCATTGTATGGTTCCTGGATTTTTTCCGCCTTGACACGATCGACAAAGGCCTCGAGTTGGTATCTATACGTTGTCCACCAAGACTCTCCCCTCTTGCCCCATACGGGCCCATCTTTGTAGAGAGTTTCAACGGTCTTCTTGCCGCTCTTCTCGGTAATGATGATCTTGTGCCCAATGTACGGCGCAATAAAGGCCGTAAGCTCGATTTTGGCTTGCTCTAGCTCCACCACTGTTGTCGGCGTCAGATCCCAAAACTGTGGAATAAAACCCAAGAACTTTGGCACCACCAATTTACAAGTGGTGGTGCACATGACTGGCGGTCTCGCACTATCCGCATTACGGATAACAAAAGTTGCCTCCATGGCTTCATCGACTCGTTTGTCAAGCTTGCTGACCTGGGGCTTCGCTTCCAATACTTCAAAAGTAGTTCCTTTCACATCATTGGGAGCGGATGCCCAGTATAAAGAGCCCGAGACAACGTAGCAAAGATCCATGGAAGCTCCGCCTCCCAAGGCGTAGTGGAATCGGATATTACCTGAACCTACAGCACCAGGAGGAACAATCATTTTCGAAGAAGTAGCCGTGACGTGGCCATATTTGCCGCTCTCAATAATCTCCTTGACGCGATGAGCGGCAGGGTGAAGTCGCCAGTGGTAGGCTTCAAGAGCGATCTTGCCATTTTCTCTCGCGCAGTCCTGAATCTCTTTGGCCTCGCCAGCATTGGATCCAACAGGCTTCTCAATCAAGACGTGCTTGCCAGCCTTTAGTGCGTTGATCGCCCATTTATGATGAAGGCCGTTGGGGAGAGGAATGTAGACGGCCTCGACATTGGGATCTTGGAGGATTTCTTCATACGAGTCGTAAACTTTGGCTGCGGTGAGCTTGTATTTGGCCACCTGTGCTTCAGCTTTTGCCCTCGATCTGGCGGCAATGGCAACAATCTCGGCGCCTTGATGGGTCTGGACCGGGTCGAAGAATGAACTGAAATTGATCGCCGCGGCTGATATGACGCCAAATTTGATTGCATCTGGATTCTTTTCTTTCAGGCTTTCTTTTATCTTATTGATGCCGTTCCACCAATTATAGGCGTTGATTATATGCTTCGCATGAGGTTAGTATACATTGGCATGGGCTTCTTGAACAAGCAACTTACCTCAACCATAGACGACATCTTGTAGTTGGGATTGAGACAGTCAAATGATGAAAAATTGAATGAAAAATAAAGCCAAAATTCGAGGTGGTTTAAGACGAGGCGCGGGAGGGTATTATAAAGTCCGCTCAAGAGATGCGGACTTTGTGGCCAGAAACCCGAATCCCGCGCTATCACAAGACTTTGAGCGAAGGCCGAGGAAAGAGGAAGCTGTTCCTTGTTGATATAGTTAGTCTGAATGTAGGGGGTATCAACTAAGTCCGAGAGAGACAGTTCCCAAACAGAGTGCTTCCTTCCAGTCGCTTCAACTCGATGCCAGCAAAAGGCGTGTTCAACCTCGGCGATTTGTCCGCGAAGACGACACTAAGAACGGCGATGTTCCAGTCTCAGGAGCGTTTAAGCCAATATCTTTGATTGAAGCATATGCGATGAGATTATCGGTTTAAGATAATGAAGCAACACTCTCAATTCTCAATGGCGGAAACCAACTGGAAGAGGCAAACATCTGAAAAAGCCACATCGCGGAGAAGGAGCTAAAATGAATGCGGGGACCGAAGTGGACGCTTACAGATCATACGAGGTAGCAAGGACAAGGGTCGATACTACTTAGCTTTTACTTCACCGAAAGGCAATGGTGTTGGATTGGAAATTCTTAAGTCCGCAATTGCCTGGCGTGATGGCAGCCCCGATGTCGTTGTTGGCATCATTCATTTCGTCACGAGTTGTACGCCTCTAAACGCACGAAATAGCATTGATCACGGCAATCGGTATGCAAGCAAAGGAAGCCAATCGGTTGAAAATTTACCAGCTGTCATGACGTTGAGGAGCCCCTTTTGATCTAAAAGCGCCTCAATGTTCATATCATGACAATGATGAAGAAGCGGTCCGACGCGCACTCTGCTGATGGCTCGCAAGCCACCAGGGAGATAGCATTGGAATCTTGAACTCAACTCCAACACTTAGCAAAGGTCCTTAATGCACTATATGTATCTCTTAAGGCGGAAGATGAGCACTTAATAACTAAGATATATCCCAAATACTACTCGTCAATCCGTACTGACATGTAGGTTGCACGGCTCGTTTATAGAGCTCGGCATATGTGTGTGGTACATGCACAAAACTTGCCCAGTAGTAGCTCTTTATTGTTTCCATAACCCAATCGGTCAATGAGCCAAACTTTATATATTCTCCCCGTATTATCTAACTTGACTCTAATTTATGCTGTTTACAGTCAGATCTCTGCATATAACTTTAAATTAACACACACAATTCCCTTGCAGCTGATAGCTCGTCAATCCCGCCCTGTTAGTCAGCGCCCAAACGCCACTTAACGCGTGCCAAAACCCAGCCCAGCATCTCAACCCCACCAAAGCTCCCGAAAAGCCCAACCTCAGAAACGCGAGGCCCTCTGCAAACGCGCCCGCAATGCAGACACGACATGTCCTACTACGACGTTGATGCCATTCTTACCGACGGGGAGGTACGTATTGTTCTTGAATCTCAAGTTTCCAGGGCAAAAGAGCCCAACTTGACCGGAAACTTACTAAAAACAGAAAGTCCCCTGTCGCTTCGAGCTCGACGTGCCGTATCTCGGCCATCTCGACAACTCCAGTGGCCTCAAACCCGGCTCCCGTCTCGCGCTGCCCCTCTGGCTCGCCGAAATGTTTGCTCTCGCCTCCGCGGGCGAAGACTCCAAGCCGCCGCTGACCTTGACCCTGCCGCCCTGCCTGTCCGACCATGTCCAGGCCGCATTGAAGGCTGACCCGCGAGCCGTGGCGTTGCGAGACCAGAGCGCATACTTCTACGGCGTGGCAGTGCGCATGCTAGATCTGTTTGACGAGAGGGAGCTGAGCGCCATTCTGCGGAGGACGTTTGTGGTGAGGGCGGCGGATGTGGGATTGCATGCGCGAAAGGCGGAAGAATCCGGGCTAGGAGGACAGGGCGAGGAGTTCTTGCGGGGACTGGATGAGTGGGAGAGGCGGTTGTTTAGGAGAGGGCATGAGGGAGTCAAGGGTGCGAAAGAATGGACGGATAACGTGAAGAGGTCATGAAGTTTGAGCGAGGAATTGGGCGATTTAGCATGATACCCTGGCATTTGGCTACGAGATGCGGATGCCTCGAACAGAAATAGATGAACAAGGTCTGAGAGACCCGCAATGAATATAATGATCAGCTGTCAAACATGTATCTCTGGGGCTTCCGACTCAGAGGTGATAATGCAAGTCAAGATCCGACATTAGATCAAGTGCGGCAGCGAACCACTACCACGCAACAAGGCCGTCCCACCATGTCCGTACATACACATTGTGATCTTTTTACATTGATGTAGCTACCTGTGATACACCCTGAGCCAAGTGCTTTTCCGCAATCTTGCTTATAGTGCAAGACAAATGGTCAACTACCTAATACTACCGCATCTTCAAAACTACCAGCAAAAAGCAAACAGCGTCCATGCGTTTACCAATAGTAAGAGTATCCATGCACATTTCGCTTTCACAGCCTCATGCAAAGTGATAAATAGCGGTGGATGTGCATACAAAGACAAAGGCTGCCGTATAGGGTACGGATATGCCACTCAGGTACATCACCATTTTGATGACCAACAGCCAGACATTACCGGAAAAATGAAAGGGCGGTAAAACAAACAAACAGGCGGTAAAGAGGCATCAGGATCAACCGCATCAAGTACTATATACCCGAAATCATACGCTCCTATTGCTCCCCATCCAAGTAACGATACACACATGACCAGACATGTACTCAGCCTCACTCAATACAACACAAAACGATGGCATGCATGCATCACATCTCCACCAAGCAAAATTCTCTCCCAGTTAAATCAGAGGCAGAAAGAACAAAAGGCTGCCAGCTCATACCCTCCATCACGTTCCCACTCCCACACGCAAAAAAACCCCAACCATTGCCCAATCAATTTTCTCAAGCTTCCCACAAACTTGCCTCACTTTTCCCAAAGAAAAAGAACACTAATCTCCATCAAACGCCAGGGGCTATCCCTGTTGCTCTTCTCTACACCGAATTCTCCACAAAACCAATTTCCTCATTCGGAAACCTTCGGTGAGATCAAAGTCAGCCAGCAGGATCATGGCTCAAGTCTTTGGGCGACGTGGCAAGGCAAAGCTTCCTCGTGACAAATTATAAAAAGGCAAAAACTCTGATATTGAGAGAACCGTATACACTAAATAAAGCCAAACCAAAAACTACTGCAAAAGCCAATCGCAGCTTCGCAGCATGGTATATCAATCCTGTATCCTGTTGTACTACAAGTGCGCCTCCAGTGTATCAGTCTAGGTCTATCCTAGGCGCACTCTGAACTCCTACAATCCTGCTATTCAAAACAAAAAGAGTCTCATCCAACATCAGATCATACAATTCCATTACCGTAACCATGCCCATGTCCCATATTCCATGCATCAGTAACACCTCTTACAGAATCAAGAAAGAGCCAACTCCAAACAGCCTGCTGTAAGCGTCGCCCATCAAACCGTCGGTCTAACAACGTATCCCACAAAAAAAATCGTCGTACAACTCCACCGGCACTGTAAATGCTGCAACATGCAGGTGTGCATGCCAAAGTAATTAAAAAATAAACAGTGAGCACCAATAGTATGATGACCTCTTGCTTAAGAGGCAAAACGTGATAGTAGCCACTGCGAGCGCTGTGGCGGGTTGTTAAAGCCTGTAACTGTTTGTCCAGTCATTGGCTAAACGGCCCAGAAACGTATCCAACCATGGTCCAGTACAAAATAGAAATAAACAAGCGAAATTGGAAAAGGGGGGGGAAAAAAAAATAACCGAAAGAAAACGCAGAGCAAAGTTAGAAACCATGTCGAATACGAGTATACGACAAGTATTGGAAAACACACAAGCTGTACAAATACTCAAAGAGTGTCCATAAGGATAGTCCAACGGCAGGGAATACCGAATTGCTTGTTGCTGTCGGCTTCTTTCTAGTAAGACGAGGGTTCTTATTTTTTTATCCTTTTTTTCTTTTCTTTGGTATATCCCGGGTGTCCCAAAGTATTTCCTCAAATATGAAAACAAGCGTTGCACCAAGTCATCGGATGAAATCAAGCGTAGTATGCGCGACATGAATAAGTCAGTAAATTTTCTTCATTGTCCATATGATTCTTGCATTGGCCATAGCGAAAAATTTTCAGCGTCTTGAAAAGCTGACGCCACCAACGAGTCTTGCGACGAAGAAGCCATCTCAATGTCATTGTCGTCAAGTCCAGACACCATCATGTTGAGGCCTAGAGCATCGTCAATAGATTGAGACGCATAATCGAAGAAAGTGAGGCCGTTAGAAGCCATTTCAGGGCTAAAAAGGTCGCCGAATGCAGCAACAGTGTCATTCAACTGGCTAACAGGATCATTCATCTGTGTAGCGGACACAAATGCCTCCTCGTCAATAGGGAGAGAAGAGGAGCGCTGGTCTGGGGACCCATAAGCTGTGCCAAGTGATCCGGATTCGTCACCTTCGACAGTAACTTCGCGGAACCATAGCTTGAGCTGCTTCATTGGGGGCCAGCCGCCGCCTCCTCTGCCCCCATTCCTTCTGCCCACAGAACCTCCCCTTGCTCTGGTAGGCTTGGCTGTGAAGTGTGTGCGCCGAAGGTGGGCAGCGGCATTGTAGTATGCTCCGTACAGCTTCCCCGACGCGCAGGCTTTACACTTGGCAAGTGGAAAAAGGGCCGTGAGTTCGGAGTGAACGCCGGGATCGCGGCAAATCCACTTCGTGACGGTACTCCTATGCTTGGCTCTGATATGGCGCCGAAGTTCATGATCACCTCGAAAACCATTAGGGTATTCGACGCAGTGGGGGCACAGCTTGGGAGGCTTCGTCTTTGACTTATTCTTATCGCCCTCTTGAAGAGCGCGCTCCTTCCTGGGGGCAATGGAGGTTGCCGTGTTTGGGGGCAGTTGTTGAGGCATAGGGGCAATAGCAGTCGTCTTGCCATTTTGGATCGTGCGTTCGGTAGCCTCTTTGAACCGACGCTCCGAGTAAGAGGCGGTTGACCTTGTGCTGTTGATGCTGATGTTTGAGTATTCTCTTTCCATCGAAGCAGAAGAAGGGAATAGACTCTCCAACGACCCGTATTGATTAAGAGAAGGGACAATGCCATTTCCGATAGCCAGGAGATCATTATTCAAGTCTGAAGCCTTCCTTGGGCTACTTGGCTGAGAATGATTGAATGTTACTTGGCCAAAGTGTGGTTCTTCTTTGAAGGACGAGACCGAGGGCATTCGGTACATGTTGGGGCTGGCTTGAACACGACTATTTTCGCGACTCATAGGCCATGGGCGCTCAGCAACTGAGGATGTCGAAACCATTGATGGAGGACCTGAAGGCAGGCCGTGGGAACGCACGTCATCGAGAGAGGTGCTTATTCCCGTTCTGGACAGGTACGTCTCTGGATTCTCACCAAAATTGAGGGAGTTTAGAGAAACAGAGCGTTCGTTGATCTGAGTCAAAGGAACAACAGAGATCCTCTCATTGCTGTGAGGATAGCGGGCGGATGTCAGAGCCAACGTTCCTTGAAGATCTTGCGAGGGCATGCTGGATTCTGAGTGGATGGATGCGTTGCGTTGCATAGGAAAAGCCAGCGCTGTCTGCAGTTGGAGAGGATAGGGGTTGCGGTTCTATCAAAAAGAAACGTGTTAGCGGATGTTCTGTCCTGGCCATGGGTATGTGTAATAAGGAGAGATGAAGAAAGAGTACGACATAATAGACAAGAGAAGAAAGGGTATTGATGTAGACATTGGGTGAGTGTCCATCATGTCCAAATCCTTGGTAGATGACACCATGTGTGCAGAGACTGTGGAAGGTACGGGTTGAGACACTCACATTGGCAGCGGGCTCGAAAGGCGCAAACGCGGGATTGGCACCGAGGCCTCTGTTCAGGGCCGGAGCGCGATCCATGTAGGCGGCGTTGCTCCCTGAAAACTGAAAGTTGGAGACCTGGACTCGCGGAGCCACAGGCCGCATCTGCTGCGTATTCTGGGCGGAGAACATTGCGCTACGGGGGGATGTCTCCACGGGATATTCCATCAAATGCGCTGCCAGTTGAGGCTCTGGCCTGGCACTTTCTGGAAGCGGATATGGAATTATGAAGTCCTTGTGTCTCAAGATAGACGAAATGGGACAGGCGAGATGTTGGATGTTGATAGACACCTATGGATGGATAGGTAGAGAGAAGAGTGACGGGGAGGAGACAGGGGCACGGCGAGTATTAAATATTGGTGTGTAGCTCGCAGTATATGGCGTAGGGGGGGTATATAGCAGCCGCAGTGGCAGGAGAAGAGTGGCAGCAATACCCAGTAGGCCAAACGCGAAGCAAATGACTGACGTTGCCAGTGCGAGAACGTCAAAGTAATTAAGGCAGAGACTGGGAGCTCCGTGTCCGGGTATATATAGCAGGGCAGATAGGCAGCAGCAGCGAGTTTGTGCAGCCAAGTATGGTGCCAGCAGTAGTAGCAGCAGCCGCAGCGCTATAAACAATCGGGATAGGGCGAATGGATATGAAAAAAGTTGAGGGAAAGGGGAAAAGGATCGTAGGACGGTGAGCTAATAGAGTATTATAATAGTTGAGAAGTAGGGTGTAAAATGAGAGGTAAGAAGACGAAGAAGTAAAGACGAAAAGTAAGAAAAGACAAGGAGAGTCGGTCAGAAAGACGAGCGATCAAGTGTTGTTGGGCCAGATAGACAGTACTTGTATGCAAATCCAAGTAGGATAGAAGGGGAAAAGAAAAAGAAGAGAAGGCGGCGCGGCCAGTTATATGGTGCAGCCTTTAAGGTCCGGCGACTACAGTTCGCCAAAGCGCAACAGGTTGAAATGGAGCACCAGTATAAGCCGCCAGCCAGTTGAGTTGGCGCTGCAGACCGACCGCCTCGCTGGAGAGTAGAAAGAGCGCCAGGCGGTCGAGGCATCTGGAGCGGTGATGAGCTCTGCAGGTACTCGATACGGGACAGGGTGTGCCTTGGGAGCGGCCAGCACGAGGTACAGCGCTGGTAGAGGAGAGAAGCAAACGGGTTGCATTGGGAGTGGGAATCAGACTTGATAGAAGCGAAGCACCAGCGACATGCTGCTAGCCCCAGAGAACGCCGGACGGAGCGCCATACTGCGGGTTCAGGTGACTTGGAGCGTGCCCAAGAGGCTCAACTTAGCCCAGGCTAAAGACGGTCGCTGCCGACGCTACTCGCAGCCCAGGTCTCTCTACTGCGCAGGTACCTGCGCGCGCTGTATCTGCGCTGCAACCTGCGTCCACTCCAGGGTCCCCGCTACCAGAGCCCGCCAGCGCATGCAGCCCAGAGGACACGCTGGAGCACCGTCGAAGTTCTGCATACATGTAGTGGGGGGTGACGTCTCTCGTGCTGCTCGCCCAAGGCGGTCTCTGGGCGCTGATCCGCTGTAAGCCTGCTAGAAGCTGTGCAGTTTTGCACCGTGCGCACTGTCAATGTGTTCGATGGCAGCTGTTGAGCGCTTGACGGCAAGAGCTGGGGCTAAACGGCGGTCGGCTCCGTCAGGATTTTGCCTACAGCGTTTGCCCATCCTTGTCTCTGCCTCTTTTTTTTTTTAGCTGAGCGTTTTTGAGACCTGCAGCTCGTGTTCCAACCTCCCCAGTCTCCGGCCTAGACGCCAATCTGCCGATTCGAGAGCTGTTGAGGCATGCCCATGTCTACTCATCTATCGTTCGCTTGCCCTGCATCACCACTAATTGCCTCCTGGTCCCCCGGCGCTCTTGGATCGGTGCTAACAGGGATGCCGCGAGCTAGAGCGATATGGGCCAGCAAATCGCTCTCCGTCCATCGCGGGCCTCGCCACCGGAGTGGATATCCATTGGACGTCCACGATCAACTGCTGACAGGAAACGAGCGAACGCTGCAGCAATAGAGTAGATAGAGACACAGGGCCGTACTGCTGCTCAAGGGTACATGTACGGTTCTGCCACTAGCTAGCAGTTGCTGGCTACTGTCTGGAGACTGCTGGGATGGCGCGATTGGACGCCCAACCCTGTCCGTTGCTCGATGAACCTGCTAGACATCCATCGCGAAAGCCAAACCCAGTGATCGGGATGCGGCTATGCGGCTCGCAACCGAGACATGCCCAGGCAATCAGCACAGTTGCACCGTTACTGCTGCTAGCACATTAATAGCATTTGAAATCTGAGTTAGTGGCCGCTAGTGTCCCATCCTTATCGCGGGCGTCCATGGAAACCGAGGCCAATGACACAATGGCTGCCACTGCTCGACCTTGTCGTCTCTCCGGCTTCGCTTCATGGCTGAGCCACCACAGGAATAAGAAGAAGAAACTAAAGCCAACGATTGTAGCTGTACGCGAGCTCGAGGAGTATATCCGCATTAGAGCCATGTTTGGGGCTGGCGATTGATTACCTGCCACACCAAACGCCGGGCAAGGCAAGGCCTTGGCGTCGATGGGAGTTGCTTGTATGTACCACAGCGTCCAGGGGATCGGCAGCAAGATGTATGTCGAGTTTACTGCAGTACCGGTACCAGTACCAGTACAGCGTACAGCGTGCCTGTGCCCTACGGCGGAGCAGACGATGTCGAAAGGGGGGAAACAATGCGGAGGTACGGGGCATGGGTCAAAGTCTGCCAGACACGTCGACGCTCTGTAAACGTGCGAGCGTATGTGTATGTCTGCGCGTGGGTGATGCTTCAGCACCCGCAACGGAGGCACGTTCTTGAGACCATGTCAACCTCTGAAGCCCGGATCCAGAACGACGTCAGCCATCTATATGCCCAGCGGCGCATCACACAAAGGCCAAGGCCCCTTCGGTGTTTCGTTGGGGGCGCATTGACTCACAGTGCTGTGCCCGTGGCAGCTATTTTGCATCTTACCTTTACTGCAGGAGGCTGCTAGAGTAGCTCCAAAGGGGGGGCGATGCCCTTTGTTCAGTGTCGCCAGCGTCAAGACTTTTGCCAAACCATCCCCCAAACTTCGGTCAGTCCCAAGGGTTACCGAGAAGGAGGGGCTTGCAGCGAGCCAAAGCTAAAGCACCGCCCGATCGCCAACGTGCCTTCGTGGCCGGGACCATGGCTCTGTCAATTCAGGAGCCAAGGCAGCCATAGTAGCGACAACAAAGTAAGGCGAGAGCGCGCACGACAGCTCTGCCCCAGGCCAAGCCAAAGCAAGCCAAGTCCCCGGCGGTCTCTGGCATGGAGATGGCGTACAGTAGGCTCTGCTGTGGCAGAAACAGAGACTAGCCCAGGATGCCCGAGATCCCTGGTGTGCCGCCAGCAAGCCTAATTCTTAAGCCTCTGGCGCTTGTCTACAGAGGTGGATGATGTCTGGTCCTTGTAAGTGCGTGTGGATGCTGCTGAATGCGAGCGGTGTCGAGAGCATGCGCATGCACGTCGCAGCTTTATTTGCAACGCAAACACATATGCTGCTGCTTGCTGCAGGCTTACCTGACACCAGCTCATACAGTAGCCTGCCTTGGGTACCTGCTTATCACCGCTGAGTGCCTACTTGGTACCTTAATATTGCCACACGGCTGTCTTTTTCTACGTGTTTGTCATGGGCCGGCGAATTGGCGGTGAGAGCCAGCATCCGACATGCTCGTACGGGTACCAAGTATTACTCTGTATTCGTACTTTGTGCCTGTATTGCACGGCCCTGACTGGCCATGGAGATGCAGCGGCTGCAGTGGTCGGTGTTGAGTGAAACCGGGGAACGGCTGTGGATGCTGCTGTTCCTGGATCGACGACCCACTAAGGCAACCTACCTGCACGCCTGCGGTAGGCATATAGACGTGCTACATTCTTGTGTACACGCATGTGTGTGCTAGCGCATGTACAGATATACAGCGGTATGCATGTGCAAGCAGTTGCAGGCAGACCGGTCTTCTCGTCCTGCTGTCGTGGATGAGAGCTGCCAGGCCTGATCTGGGTTGGCTTGATCCGAGTTTGGGCTGTTTGCTGGCGCGCGACGTGAGAGGACCGACCCGATATCAAAAGCTGGCCAAGGAAGGGAAAGGGTGGCAGAGGCCGGGTGCCCCAGTCAGGTCAAGACCGCTGTCGCGAATCGCGGCTGGGCCTGTCTGATTCGACGATGACGATGGCGATGGCGATGGCGATGGGGATGGCGGGGATAGGAAGCGCTGGCTGCTAGCACTCGATTCGCATGCAAGGTCCAAATGGTTTCCTTTCGGCCCTGGGCTCCATGGGACACGGCGGAACTGTTCCTGGCAGCTTTTGCTCCCTACCGCACAACGTCTCAGATAGGATCAAGCCCGACCTTGTGATGAAAGTGCCGATTGCCAGGCCCACGGCGTTGCTCTGAAGGCGTACCCAGGCAAGCAAGGGAGAGAGGCCAGACCCTGGGATTCAGCTGCCCGTGCAACCATTCACAGACGAGACGCTAACCCAGCAACAACATCGAGTGCTGCTCCCAGCATGTCACTGGCAGGACTAACCAAGAAGCGTATCATGGTCTTGTCTCCTTACCGGCGCAGCGATACAGGTCTATAGACAGATTACGAAACCCATGCTTGCCTGTATTAGTATATTCGGTCGCAAGAAAAAGCAGTCCAGCGGTACTACACTACTCCGAATAGAGGCATTGCCGTGTTGCATTCTGTATCATATCACGTACATACACAGACTTGATGGCTGGAACGCCAAAGTTTCAGGCCTGGCGGTGCATGCAAAGATGCGGCGTCTTCTATGGTATGTTTGTCCTGGCAGCCCTATAATTCGACTGATAAAACCGCGCATGCGTTTTTGGCAACAGTGGCTTGTATTTCCCGTTTGAGTCCCGGTACGATGGGCACAAAAAACGCTCAAATCGCTTCTATTTACGGACCAGTACCAAGAACAGCTACACCGACCATCCTGTGAGTTACACTGTTGGAGCCAGGTGCCGAGCCCGAAGCCAGTAAATCAGCAAAGGACGCAATTAGCCGGGTACGTGTACGGAGCATTTTGGTTGCGATGCCATCCGTGGATGTCACATCTCATTCATCTCCTATCCAGCTGCCTTGTATGGGAGTTCGCTTAGGAGCTGCTCCAAACAAAAGAAAAAGAACCGGAATCGCCAGCCGGATAGCTCCAGTTGCAGTTGCTTGCAACAGATTAATGCCTCTCGTCTCGCTACATAAGGTGAGCACTTGTAGCAGCGCCTAGCTTAGCTCGCCAATTCAGCCTTGTCAGGATCGCGGCGCTTGTTCTATCCGTCGATCCCGCGATTGATTCTCCTGCTGCGAGAAATACGAGAAGCGCAACAAAGTACGGATGGCATGCGCGCGATACTGGTCCCTTGCGTCCAAGCCGTCTCTCCAGGCGGCCCTACGCACACAAGGCACAGTAGAAGATTCCAACCCCACGCAGCGAATGGAATCAAATCCTTCCTCATGTCGTCCTCCCAGCACAGACCGGCCACCCAAATCCCATCGCCGCAAGGTAATTGATGGGCTTAACATCACCCGAGTCATGGACTCAACCGCTAAACTAAATCGCAGGGTATGACTAGGGGGCTTTAGGCTAGGCGATCGCGGGGCTGATGGCGCTTTGGATGCTCGAGATGGATGCTGGCCGTGCCACCAGAGGCCATGGAACACGTCTAGAAGGCTTCGAAGGCTTCGAAGCCCTTGGCCCGAGCGTCGGGGAGGTGGTCCGTGATGCCCTCTAGTGCTCGATGATTGCAAGTCGCAAGGCATTTTCATGCTCTCTACCTACAGTAGTCCTTTCGTAATAGGCATTGATGTGTTGGCAAGTGGCTTTAATCGCTCAATGCAACCGGTTGCTAATCGCAGCTGCGCGAGCGTCTCGCTGACCTCACCCCCAAACTTGTTTTCAGCTCTTCAAGGCCGCGTCTCCGAGTTCGCAAGGCAGAGGCGAGACGGAGTTTTGAAAAGCCAAATACTACCGGGGAGTCCAGGCTTGGTGGCTCGAGCGTCAAATATGACCAAATGCTTTTATCATGTGAAAAGTCACAGCCCTCCTGCCCGGTTGGTGTGTGGCCTCTTTCTGCTTTCTCCGAGGACCCTGGAACGCTGCTCTCTCTCTTGTTAGTGGCCAATTGCGCTGCTGCGATTGAGTCTGGGGTCAGGCCGTGACTCAGATTTGCCGTCCCGATGTGCGTCAACCGCCATCGCAAAGCGTAGACGGTAACCTGCATTTGACCGAAACAATTGACTGCTGCAGCAAAGCCACCACGTGTACCTGATTGTATGGGGAGAGCAGTACGCGCGAAAAAGCTCATTTTACCACACGCCGGCTTTGTATCCGCGCCTCCTTTGCCCAGCGTTTGATCGAATGCCAAGTGTTGCCTTTTTTCTCTCGCTGTGTGGCCTTTCCTGATTCTGGACGCCTTCCGTCATCGACGGATACCCTGGGAAGTCCAATCCCGTCCGCCGATGCAGGGGTGCAACCTTCAACGCTCAGTTTAAATGGACAATCCGGCGTGTCAAATGACCTACCTTACTATTGGCCATCTAGAAGGGCTTAGCCCATACACAGCTCTGTACATGTACATACAGTCACTTCTGAGGTTAGAGAGAGAGTCCATCGAAAGTTTGTCTGGGGTGGGAGGCAAAACAAGCAAACCCGGGGAAGGCATTTTGGGTGGATGGCCTGTGGAGGTGGATATCTGAAGGCGCGCATCTCGCCGATGTCCTAGCTGAAGTTTTTCTGGAGAGAACTTCAAATCGGTGAAGGATTGGTTGGTTGATTTGGAACACATCTCTTATCTATCAGCGCAGAGGCTTGGCTGACACGGTAGTAGTGATACCTTTTTAGTCTGAGGGCGCGGAATTGATGGATGACAGATGAGCGGATGTTCGCGGCTGAAGCAGAGGCTAACGCAAAGTTGAAGCACATGACCCAGACGGCGATTGGACACGGACAATGGGATGAGGCAAACAGTTTATCAATGATGAAACGATTTGACTAATTGCCAAAATCACTCTATCAGGCATTACGAGGCGATAATTGTAAAAGAGTTTGGGCTTATCGTGGTCTTTTATTTGATGTCATGGCCCATGTGTACTTCCATTGCTATAGCTGCTTATTAGTGGGCGGCAAAAGCTCGGCTGAACCCTGCGGCGATGACACAGTGACCTCAACTGGATCGCTAATCGGGTGGTTGTGATCCGATTGCTTGGGGGTCCCAATTCAATGCTGCATGCTTTCCGTTGCCAAACCTGCCGGCATACTATGGCATGATGCGCCGTCTACAGATATCGCTTCTGGCGGCCTTGCCGCTGTGCAGGGCCAAGTCGCCTTCGTTTAGCATTCACGAGGACTTACAGGCCTTTCCGCAGGTACGTAGGGCTCTGGAGCTATGTAGTAGCTCACGCGCATGACAAATATGAGCCAAGGCTGATGATATCGCAGTTTGAGGTCGTCTTCTCGGACCACTACATTTCGGAAAAGGATGCGCAGTCGCTGCTGGAGTACAACATCGAGCATCCCACGTTCTCGGCCGATTCGTCGCAGCCAACAATCAGCGATGCCGGCGGCAGCGCCACAGCCAAGGATGGTCACGATGGACGCTACGCCGCTACCCAAAGCGAGTCGCCTCTCACGTACGAAGTGATGAACATGCCGCCCCATCGATACCTCTGCGCCATCCCAGTCATCGAGCCCCCGTCACCGGAGAACCAGACCGCAACCGAGCTGGCCAAGGCGGAGGAGGCACGCGAGCTGGGCCGAGCTGCTGCTAGCGGCTGGAATCTGCTCAGCCAGCTCGAGGACACTTGTCTCTACTTCATGTCGGGCTGGTGGAGCTACAGGTTCTGCAACAATCGCGAGATTGTGCAATTCCATGCCCTGCCCTCGACACCCATGGGGAAACCGCCTCAGCGCGATCCCCATGCCGCCGAATACGTCTTGGGCCAGGCATCTCTCCCCGAAACATCGGAGACGCACTCGACGTCTTCTAGCTCTGCCGCTGATGACGAGAAGCCACCGGCCGAATTACAAGTAAAGGGCGATCAACGATATCTGGTGCAGAGGCTTGAGGGGGGGACTATATGCGATTTGACGGGGAGGGCGCGAACCATTGAGGTGCAGTATCACTGCGTTCCGGGAATGCAGAATGATCGCATCGGATGGATCAAGGAGGTCACGATTTGCGCATATGTCATGGTGGTCAACACGCCGAGACTGTGTGACGATGTGGCCTTTTTGCCGCCCGAGGAGAATAAGGCGAATCCAATCACTTGTCGGCTTATTACCGATGATGAGAAGCAAGCTCCTCCGCTGATTGATCAGCATCCAACAAAGTTTCCCAAGCTGAATGAGCCGATTGCGCAGGAAGAGGAAGAATGGGATGAGTTGCAGCAGCATACCGTCAGTGATGAGGCTGCTACTACTACTACTCCAGTTACTGTTGGTGGCGTGCTCGTTGGCGGACGGAAATCACTCTCTGCTGGTGATCAAGACGGCCAGCCACCAATCGTACTGACGCCGCCTCGGAGCTACATGAACACCCAGCAAGCTACGGAGCAGCTGATCAAGGTGCTCGTCCAGGCGGCCAGCAAGGAAGACGGCGGGAAAGTCGACCGCCTTAGCAAGGAGGAGCTTGAGAAGCTGAACATTAAGCCGGACATGGTGGAGGAGATGGAGGAGGAGATGAGGCGGCTTGCGGGCGATGCGGGCTGGCAGCTGGAGATTGTGGGCGGGGTTGATGATGATGAGAGGCAGCTGAGGGGGTGGTTGCATGAGGATGGTGAGGATGATGACGGTGCGGATGAGGGAAAGGGGAAGAAGGGTGGTGATAAGGGAGAGGAGAAGAAGAAGGGTTTGGGGGGGAAGAAGGGGAAGGGTACAGACAGTGGTAAGCGGAAGAAGAAGGGGCAGGATGAAGAAGGGAGCGAGGAGCAGTTTTTCAAGGAGGAGCTGTGAGAGGTGTAAGTGGTGAAGGGGAAAATGGATGGATGAGTGAAGCCACATTTTTCCCTTTTTTTTTCTTTCTTCTTTGGCGTTGAGGGAAATTGTATTTTTCATTTGGCATCGTGTCCTCGTGCCGTGTCAGATCATAGCATCATCAGCATTCGTTTGCGAACTACGAAAGTAGGTATATAGTATATAGTCGCATTGCGTTGCAAGTGTTGATGACACTGTTTAAAACTACATTATATAACGAGTATTGAAGCTGGTGATGTCAGTTTAAGTTATATGCTGTACGGGAGGTATCTGGGGCGACAATCATTGTTTTCAATCTATAACATGCTCGTCTTACACGTCTGGCTATTCATATGCAAGGGAGATGTGGCAGCACACGGGATTGGGATCATCGTGGAAAAGACAAAGCTACTTAAAAAGACTTGAAACATTGTCTCTCCGTGTCTTCCCTTTTCCCGCATCAATGGAGCGTTTGCCACGTGTGGTGCGTGTGTTGCTGTATGACAGCTAGCTAGCTAAACCTGTGCCTTTGTGTCGAGGCGAGCAGGAGAAAAGATCCGGATACACGACGCATCAACTTACATGCGCTAGTTGGATATTTTGCCTTGATACTTGTACAAACATAGTTACGGGGCGCCACGACATCGTCGGGTGCGTTTTGCTGGTCTGGTGGAGAGGGCAGACGTGGACGCTTTATGCGCTGTTACGGAGCAAGATGCGGAGCTTAAACTCGCGAGCTCCCAACCATATACATGGGTGTGTATTTCTTTCATTTCTTCGCATATTTGTTGTGCTATATTTGTGCTTTTGCGTTTTTTATTCTTTACCGCTTTTAGGGACAGGGATTGATGTGGCCACATTTTGGTTGATGGAGGCGGTGTCGATGTGACGAGGATGAGAGGGAGGGGTTTTTTTGACTGGGCTGGGCTGGGCTGGGCTGCTTGACTGGATGGATTTTATGCAGTGGTGGTTACATGCTCGTACGGTATTATCAGTGAGGATGGAATTGCGCTATGGCGGTGATGCGATGAATGAATCATTGACAAATAGTCAGATGTGTGTGCTGGATAGGAGTTGCTGAGGTGGGTTGTTCGGTCTAGGACTTGCTCTAGGACTTGAAGCTGCGCTTTGTCTCACCTTTGTCTTTTGCTGACTACTCCGTAATAAATCAACTTTTTTTTCGTGAGCACCCCCGCTTGTTGAGAGAGGATGCAGGAACATGGGTAGTGAGGAAGATCGGTGTGACTTGCGTGATGGCTTGCTTTTGCCTGATTGCTTGCGTATGGTTCGTGGGTATTCGATGAGCAGGGCCTGTCGTAGAATGATCACGTAATGATTCAGGCAGGGCGGTTGTTGAGACAAGATGACTGTGTGCCAAGTAATTTGAAAGTCTAGGAGCATTTCTCTACCTCGTATAGAGGCGATTGACCGTTTGTTCAGCGTCGGTAGAGGCGGATATGGGCAATGGGAGGTTGCTTTGACAGGCCAAGCGACATCACCTCATTGCAGCATAAACGAAAAGAGAGATGCTTGATCAACAAACGAAAATAGATACCTACTGCATCCCTGCTTTGGCGAGCGACGAATCAACTGTGGCTGCCACGTTTTGTCGCTCGCCACGAGAAACGACATATGTTGGCTGGCGTTGGGTCGTGTGGCGTTGGCCTTGGCCTTTTGGCGTTGGCCAGCGATGAAGATCCAAGGAGAATGAAAACGGAGCTCTAAAAGGCGGAACCACGGCCCCGGCTCCAGCTGGAGTCGAAACAAGCCCCGCGGCTGCGGGAGATCCAGTGATGGGCAGCCCCGTAAATCGTGGCAGCGAGCGATTGAGTTTGTTACAGTACAGGAGATTGGAATTGTTAGCGATGAACCGCTGTCTAGGTTGGCGATTCGCCCGTCTGGCCGCTCGACAAATTAGAGTGAGAAAGTCAAAATGGCAGAGACAGAGACATTGGCGATTAACCTCAAAAGGGGCGGCTGCAGGAGGGGACATGCAGCAACCTGGATGCGGCAGTCCGGCTTCTCCACCGCTCTTCTGACGGGCGGCGCTTGGAGAACGTCCGTGGAGCGAAACTTTGAGTGCTGCGCTAGAAGCAATGGAAGAGGGCAAAACGTCCCATTGAAAGAGGCCGTTGGTGTGGTCGGGTGGCATTTTCTCGAAGTCTATACAGAACAGGCCGTGTAACTAGCCCGGAGTAGGCAGCATGGTGCAGCGCTACGACGAGACGGGGTGACATTCATCTATTCATTCATTGACCGCTAGTCCCTGTTACTACTATGGAAGTAAAGTAGAGCAGAGCATCAATGGATGCCAAAAGTCAGAGAGAGAGGGAAGAGAAGAGGAGAGAAAAAGAGCATTGGGCTGAAAAGTGAGCTGCGTCGTTGGGCTGCTGCAGCCTCTTTGTCTTGCTGCTGCTTCTTGCGCCGCAAACTGGCGGGACAGAGAAAAAATCGAGAAGGCGGTAAAAGGGGGCTGGGCTGAAAACAGTGTCATCGTGGCTTTGCGCGTAGCAAAAAGAGAGAGGCGGCGGGCAGGGCGGGAGACCACAAAAGGGTGGATATCAGGATGGAGACGTGGTTTATGCGGCCATGCGGGCACCGACTGGGCGCTGCATTAATTGGCGTGAGCAGCCTTGGGAATGAAGAGAAATAAGAAGAGAGACAGAGAGAGAGCACAGAGCCAGAGGTTGGTCTATTCGTGATTGCTTGTGTCTCGTTGACTGCGCCTTTGGGCCACTCAGCGCTCTTATAGACCAAGGCGAGTTAATTTGCTGCCGCAAACCAATCACCACTGACCTCCAGCTCAATTCATCCATTTGATTGATCCCTCTGAGGCCGGACCGCCGCCCCTTTGCGCTAAAGCTCAGGCCCCCGGCTTCAGGCACAGGCACTAGCGCGGGCCCCTGGCTCGCTGCAAGCCACCCACTGAAGCACCAAGTGCTCCAGCAATTACGGAGTAGCCGCACTACGCTACGCTACGCCTCTTCGCTGTCAATAGCTCCTCCCTCGGCCGGCATCGACATCAACTTGGTTCATTCTCCATCTCCATCTCCCGCGGCGCATCGCATCTCTCTGTCCCTGATTCTGCCAATTTACGCTCAACCGCATCTCTCGCTCTTGGTTCAGTTACGAATCTCGCATGGCTGGCGCTGGCCCGTACAGTATGTTCTCTCTGCTCTCTCCCTCCCTCTAGCCCGCCGATCCTGCACCGCACACAAAGAGAAAAAGGACCGCATCGCATCTGCCCTCGCCATTTGCCGCCATTCCTCCGCCAGACAGCCTGCGGCCTCAAATCGCCTCTCCACCTGCATCTCCATTCCCGACTGCATTCCTAGATTCCCCAGTTCATTCGCACCGGAAAGACGATACTGCCTCTTGTTTGATTGTTATTGTTGTCGATTGCCGGATTGTCTCTCTGTTTGTCTGCGGCCGCTGGAACATAATACGAACCCTTACCTTAAGCGAGTTTCCACGACGACGGCATACCTATTCCCACATATCCACCGCCTTGCCTATTCTGCCTTGCTCTGCTGTTTCAAACAAACGAACCCCGTCACTGCCCACTGCGCATCCTATTCACCTTCGCCAGTGCCTGCTCTCACCTCTTTATCCACATTCACCGGGCCAGGCCTTCTCAACGCCTGCAGCCGAGGCTGGCCGGAATCTGGATTGCGATACCCCTACCACGTACATGCTCCAGACCTTGCAGAATCGCGAGATCGACCCCCTTGGACTGTGCTCACAACCGACATGCTCCTCCTGCACCACGCCCTCTCGCGCGCCTAATTCTCTCACGCGATCGCGTCTGACCTCGCCTTGACATATTCTTATTCCCATCCGGCACATCATTCACTTCGTAGCACCACCGACTAAGCGCTAAACGTTCAGGCCTAGTAACTTTGACTTTCGATGCGGCCTTCAGCGCAAACCTTGACCAGCTGCTGCACCTGATATCTATACCCGCATAGGCATATATATCAGGTATCGTGTTTGTCGTCAACTATCGTCGTTCCTTATATTTAATCTCGCAGCGTTACGCTGCTCCGCAACCCCCATTCAACACTCAGTTGCGCCATGGATTCGTCAAGCATATCGTCAAGAGCCTATCAAAAGGCTCCGGCTCAATATCCTCGCGCCTCTTCGCGGACGTCCAACCGATCCGCGTCCACCCGTATGACTTCTCAAAGCGTGCGAAGTCCAGTCCCGGGCCCTCGCCTCGCGCCCTCACCTCAACTTTCCAATGACCACCCGAGCCATCGATACCACCACAGCTCTTACAAGGAGCAAGTGCTGTCGCCTCGATCTACACCCAAACCTACGCCGCAGGGGTCGAGAGAGGGCAGCGTCGAGTCCCCTCGTTCCCAAGCAGTTTCATCGTTCCTACAGGAAAAGTTACAGCGAGAAAGAAGGGCAGAGGTGGACAAGCTCAGCCAGAGCGCTCTATCACGAGTCAGCGAAGACTTTGGCGCGCCACTCAGCATTAGCCGCGTCAATTCTCCAAGGAGGAGATCGGTCGCAGCTTCGTCGGATGGATCGCGCCCCAAGTCGAGCAGCGGCAACGATCCTGCCAAGAAGCCCGGATTGGGCGTCAAGGACATGGACAATGTACGTCACAAATGATATGAAGTATTCTCGCCCCGTTTCATTTCTAAAAGCTAACTCATCAATAGGTCATCTCAAGACTTCACAAGGAAAACTTTGACTTGAAGCTGGAATTGTATCACCGCCGCGAAAAGCAGTCAACACTGGAATCAAGCATCGAAACCCTAGAAAAGGAGAAGCGTCAGACCGAAGAGATGAACGAAACCTTGCTCGACGAGCTCGAAAAACGCGACAAGGCTGTTGAGGAGGCCGTCGCCATGATCGTTATGCTGGAGGCCAAGGTAGACCAGTTGCTTCAAGAGAGGAACATGGTTCTGCAAGTCGAACAGGAGGGTTTCTTTTGCCGTCAAGACATGGAGCAAAAGTATCTTAGAACTTCCCTCGACCTTCCAGCTGACGACGCTGGTAAGCAATTGGACCGAGTCCGGGCCCTCAACCGCGTGCCAAGCTTCCTTTCAGAAAAGAGCGAAAACACCGAAAACTTGCGCAACGTCTATCTCGGAGTCCGGGGGAGTGCGCTGAGTCTGGCACGGGTCACTGAGGGGAACATCGAGGTGGATAACGGTGCAACTAATGGACCGGCTCCGGGTAGCCCGACCTTGAGCGTCCTCAGCGAGAGCTCCTTTGCCAGCGTCTATGGTAAAAAGGGCCAAGATGGCATCTTCCCTCCACCGGTCGATCAGCCCCTTGGCTTGGATGGTATTGATGCCGGCTCGCAGATTTACACAGCGGAGGGGCGGGACGTCTCCAAAAGGATAACTGGGTTCCCGCCGCGGGCCGCTTCTGCCAACCATTTTGCCGGGTCAAGCCGTTCATCCGCTCCCCGCCATTCTAGCATCTCGGGTCCTGTGGGTCACGCCTCCCCGCTACAGCAGATCGAGCAGCTGGCCCGGTCTCAGAGTGTGCTTCAAGAGGGCTTCCACCCTGTGGCCAACAATTCGAGCAGAGACCGACGACGCTCACAGCCTCCTGCTACCTTGAGAAAGGTCATGACGGACGGCCCTGGTGCTTTCAGACTTCATGATCCAAATTTCCCTCCCACTCCTGACACGATTTCGACATCGACACTGCATCGAATGCGAAGCTCCAACGACTCACTTACAAGACAAGACAGCCGAAATGACAGAGCCTCAGTCGTATACAGTGATCAGGACAATCAGTCGCTGCGAGTTTCATTCCGGGGAAAGCAGAGTCAATTACGAGGTGTAGAAAAGGGGTCTGGAGATGACAATGGACACTCGTATGGTATTGCCGTTCCTATGCCACAGCAGCACCATCCTCACCATAGAGCCGCCAGCGAGTCTACGACGTCTCGGAAGAAGGACAACCAATGGGATAGTACCGATTCTGACGAGCATTCCGAGTCTCACTCCCCCCGATCCAGTCTTGACATCTGGATGCGAGAGAGCAACAAACCAACGCCAGACGATAATATCTCTTCCGACATTTTCAACTTTCCGCCCGGCTTTGGTCATCAGAAGACACAGTCGCAGGGCATTGGCAACGATGCCGACTATATCAACGACCTCTTCTCACTGCGTCAGTCTCTCGTTACGAACACGGCTCCGCCTCCACCCGGCAGGCGATCAAGTCTCCATGCCCGCACGTCATCGACAACCTCATCTGCCCGCAACTCGCCCAGAACGCTCACTCTTACCAGCACTCCAGAACAGCCAGAACATCCAGAGGAGCCGCAATATGTCAGTCGCCCTAGGCAGCGGAGTAACAGCGTCCAGGTGAAACACGACTACCATACGCCTATCCAGTCTCCGTCCATTCCTCAGCTCCCACAAAGCGAGAAGAGAAACCACTACCCTCCGGTCACTGGACCACGGACAGCATTGAATAGACTGTTCCGTCGCTCAGTAGCTCCTACTTCCCCAGTCAGCATGCCTACGAGCGCCACCGAGACTACCTTTTCTGAATCGTACAAGAGCGCCCAGGGCGTTCCTCTTCAGCCCTGGATGAACAGAAACATTGACAGCGAGCTCGATCCTCGTAATGGTGCCGGCTCGACGCCACCACCCATCACGCTTACGCTTCGACAGAGGAGAAGAAATACGGTGGGAACTGAAGCCGCACCCTCATTTATACCCTCATCAACCAGTGCTCCCGTACGACTCTCAGAGATGGCTGTCAATGGACGAAACTCACCAACTGCGAAGAAACTACCGCCGCTACCGGCCGAGCCAACTTTGCCAGCGGCATCAGTCATTGGTACTCGCAGGAAGTGGCTACCTGGATTTTCAAGGGGTAGCAGCAGCTTGAGGAACAGAGCCAATTAGAAGCTGCGCTCTGCATCATGAAAGAAAGCAAAGGCCGCAAGCGGATACCAAACGCATTACAATGTCAATGTATCAACATAGGATATGTCAGCATTATAATGGATCAGAGCATGCATTATTCTGAGACTCTATCCATGCGCCTCGACGGGCACCCTTTTCTTTATCTTTTTGTTTTTGCTTTGCCTCTTATCCTCTTGTGTTGTAGCAAACAGCCATAGAGCGTAAGAGACTTGGCCCATAGTCACATTCTCTTCATTCTCCTTTTTTGTCTCTTGCCCTTTTTGACCTTTTGGCTTTTTGGTCCTTTCGTCTTCTTCTTTTTAGCCACATAGCAAGCATCGCACGAGGAGTCGGAAGCGTGTACTACATGTGTGTATTTTTCTTCTTCTTTTTTTGGTTCATGATGCATGACGATGGAAAGCAAAAGTGAGGCCTTCACAGGCACTCGGTTATGATTTTTGACTTTTGTGTGATTTGTTTACGGATTGATGAGATATATACTACAATATAATTTTACCTTTTTATTCTCTAAGTCTGTTGAAGTTCTTGTGCATGTGATAGCGTTTTCGCGGCTCTCAGCTTTCGACGGAGAGTTACCCTTTTGACTCGTAGATAGCATAGTCCATTGATACTCTATTCACAGCTTTGTCCGATAGCCTACCTAGATCACTCGTGCTTGTGGATGGGATGTTTGCAGTTTTGACAGAAGACGGCATATTAGAGAAAACTAATGGCCGTGCTCATGTTCGTATCGCGTAATTTTAGTTGGATAAAGATAGGATCAACAGGGAAATCAATCATGAAAAAGGTGCCTTTGCTTGGCTTTCCTTGGCGTGCATAGAGCTAGAATACCCGAGACTATTGTAGGTGTAACCGACGACTGCAAATGAGAGTGCTTCGGCTTGATTGGCTAATCGATCATCATACATGATGGCGAAATACGAGTCTCTGCTCTGACAAGCTTCATTGATGAAGAACTGGCCGCTTGTGAACAAGAGCGCTGCAGCTTAAGACTGGGTGATGCAGCGTCATAGAAGAATGCAAACTGTGAGTCTGAGTCTGTTCCATAGCAAGTTGCGCTGATAGGGAATGCACCATGTTGTTCTATATAAGTCTCGTTGAAGGGTCTTGAAAAGCTGCTGGGAGCACGATGCCGTGTTATTTTGACGCTGAAGGAACGGGGCAGACGATGGAGAGAGAATACTACCGGTCTGATACTATAACTTGATGTGTAATAATGGGCATTGGTGCGTTTTTCCGCCTCTTGCTGGTTGACGATCCAATGTAGGTGTTGTGGCTTCGTTATTGCGGTAATGTGAAACTCGAAATGTTCAGCGAAGGATGGGACTGTTTTCGACGAGTTATCTGTGGGTAGGACAGCAGACGGCAATATTATAACAATAGTAATTTGCTTTAATATTCTCATCATGTCTCCCAATGGACTGGGATATATAGCATGGGACTCAAGTAGGGAGCCAATGATGGCGAGAAACAAAGAAGCGCTCAGCAAAGGATGGGGCCGTTTCCGACGAAAGATCTGCGGGTAGGACAGAAGATGGCGCTCTTGATAAAAATAGCAGGGTAACTTACACCACGTCTCCTCTTGTGATGAGTTGGGGCAAGATACTCGATAAAGGAGCCAATCATCATGTGCGAGACAGAGGTATCTGGTAATGCTGCCGGCATCAGTGGCTGCTTTGCCACGGGATTTGCGGTAGCATCTCATTCCGTCAGTAATTGATATTTTGGATACCCGTGTCAGATGCAAAGTCATAGGTCTCTCGGGACCGGCCTGCACCTGCGAGAGAGGTCTGGTGACGGCCCTCAGGTTGTAATCTTCCTCTGAAAAGAAACAACACGGGTATAACTATAACCAGTCTCATTGAGAGAAATCCTTCAAAGGAATGCCATGCTGGCCGATAATGGAGCGATGGCCTGACTCGCAGGATGGAGAATTGCTTGGCAGATAGCTGCCTCGGCGATTCAGCGCAATCCAGCGTCATGAGCGTATTCAGTGCTGTTGAGCGGCGCGTTGAGCCTTCTAAGAGGCTTAGCTTTGCTTCTCGCGCAATCAAGTTTGCAATAAGCATCCCCAGCAGCCTCAATGCCGGTGGAGTTTGGCGATATGGAGTCATTAGCGAGAGGATCTGAGACTTTGGTACGTCAGTGCGCTTTTCAGCCGCCACTTGTGTGCCCCGGGGTGTCGAAATCTGCTTTCAAGGTTTGTCGAATATAGGCATCTCAACGCATAAGAAACCCACGTAGATGGCTGAATATGTGTCGTTGTTACGATTCGATAGGACGTCGTTTACCGTAATGGGAGTCGCCGTGATCACCGAGATCGTCGCTGTAAGTGCCCGTTTTGACCAGCCTGCAGATGGTGTGAATGGCTGTGTTGAAGAGCTGACCTGTTACGTGTAATTAGCAGCCGCAAGCCTCCCTATACTAATTATAGCCGTATAGGATGAGATTGGCAAAGAAATGCCACACGCCTTCATCCTGATAAAAGGGAAATAACACGTCTTCTTCGTGGTAAAATGGAATAAACACGCCTTCTCTCCCAAACACACGGCCCCTGGCGATTGTGATAACCTCAAATCCTTCAAGAGCAGGGCCCCAGCTCCTTTAGATACAGTTATTTCCGTGGCGTGTTCTCGCTTCGTTTTCGTTACGCCCGCCGGCAAGCAAGTCGCTTAGTGCTGCGCTTGAATGTATGTTGCTTACGGTGCGTTTCGCTTCATCTTGGCACAGGCGTCGATGGAATTGATGAAACAGAGTTGGAGCATCCGCTCCGTCTTGAGGTTCTGCCCGTATTGATAGGTACACATATGAATGGGAGAGCCTGGAACTGCCACGACAACCCCGTCGCTGTATCACAGGACAAGGACAGGCAGCGTTGCAATATTCTGTGCATGAGCGTATCCTGTCCCCAGCCCCCATTTGCTTGTTTTCTCCCACGTTCGGCTGCCTCCAGTGCGGGGATCCCTGCGTTGTCGTTTGTCTGTATCCTTGTCGTCGTTTGGTTCTCGATTTCAGCGTCGATGCTACCCGGCCCCAGGTGACGGCCCATTATAGCACTCGTAGCGAATTACCCGGAAAAAGCATATAGGGCAAAATCAAGCAGAGAAAAACGGGCATCAGGAAGACCGCGTACCCGTTGAAGGAGCCGGTTTGGGACAATCGTGTAATACCATAGCGCCGTAAGAGAGAAGGAGAGAACTGAACTGAGCCCACCCCACTCAGTACATGTATCTTACTTAGTGTGGCCACTACTATAACATCCATGTGCTGTTAGCTGGGCGTACAGCAGTAAGAAGATCATATAAGCGGATTGTCCGTTCTTATATAAACCACAGTTGTGAGGGATTTCGTAAGGCAGATCGGGGCAACTCCAACGCCGACAGAGCCGCCGGCCCAATCCTGAACTCAAGCGCGACGGCGACACAAGTCGAAACTCAACTTTCTCGTTGGCGTCGAATCCTCGGAGTGAGCTTTCCGTCAAATCGGTTTCAAACGGCTCTCGCTCTCACATTTCACTGCTGGCTGCCCCGGGCTACTGCAACGTCGCTAAAGAGGCGGTCGAGGAACGGATGGTTGGTGCAGAGGCTTACCGTCTACCGAGCGGGCGCTGTCAGGGATTAGTTGGTAAGGGCCACAGTAGGTTTTTGGACGTTGCAAAACGGCAGTCCATATAGCGCTTTGTTTGTTTCAGTTAGTGCTGTGGACGGCACTTTGGAGAACGCAAAACTGGCGTTAAATGAAGCAGTGCCTGAATCTCGAAATAGGGAAAGCGGAAGGAGCAGAATCCTCGAGAAGCCGTTGCACGGGCAGTTCTTTGCGATAAAGAAATAACTGGGGAAGAGGGAGAGAGGGCTATGACATAAAGGGAAATGTTAGAGAGCTACGACATAAGGAGAAAACTTCCCTTGGTTATGACCTGACACGATTGAGTTGGCAGACAGGAATTGAACAACCAGGGTCCCTAGTCACTATATGCGTAGGAAATTACTCTATATAACGATTGTAGTTATCGTATCAATATATTGAGTAATATTAATTGGAATAAAGCTTCTACAACAGTAAGTACCCTGAACGTAATAAATAATTTGTAAGTAGTAACTTTGTTTCGCCAGTTGGTTGCAGTAGAAGTGGAACAAACAGGCAATACATGTGTTCTGTTAAGCTTAACCCTCACAAATTCATCCTTTTCTTGCGTCAAGTCCTGTAATCAGCTATCTCAAAATTAAAAAAAAAAAAATTAAAAAAAAAAAAAAGAAAGAAAAAAAGATACATAGTAGATTCATGTAATATCAGCTCGTGTTTGCAGACTTCGCCGCTTACTATACTCATGCTGAGCCTCGTTTTTGTCATCCCGATCTTCATCCCAAGTGTGAGTGTGCATCAAGACAATTGTTTTGTCTTCTTCTCACTTGCGGTTTAGATGACGGCAACTGATATTGGCTAGACAACCAACCTTGGTTCTTCTTTTCTCTTCCCACAACCCTGGCCTTTACCTGATGCGCTTGAAACATAGGCTGCTAGCTAGCCTGGATGATCTCTTTTCCGATCGTGATCATAGTGGAGGGACTTTCATCAGAGCCCACAGTCCAATATCCCGAGGAATTACGGTTGGCCCAAGCAAGATAGAGAGATGGGCAATTACGACACTTACAGCCCTCTCATGGCTGGCTGTGCCCCCTCCTTTTGCCCCTGCCGCCTCTTCTTGCAGCCAATACAAGGTATGCACTCCGTGTTATGCGGTCAGATACCACGTGTGAAACTTTGGGTCACTCCACCGGCTCAATGCTACATATACGATAATCTTAGCGCTGAGATTTGGGGAGGCTTCGATTGCTCCTGGAGGCTTCTTGATGGACGCCGGGGCCCGGCCCTGGCCTTTGCTCTTTTCGCAAGGCCTTATTGCAAAGGATTCCAGATGCGACAGCGGTCAATGTCAATGCCCTAGATCCTGCGGCCTCAGCCAGAAATTTGACGGCAGGGCTTTGAGGCAGGCCGCACGCCTGAGCGTGTTAGTGCCTAGTGGCAGTGGTAATAACAAGACTAATAGCTAAGGGGGGGGAGGGTGTCTGTTCTCTCTTCAACAAGCGCTACTGCGGTGCCATCCATTTTGAGTCCTTGGAGGATTTTCAGCCCGTCATCTCCTATATGACATGTAAAGTAACGGGTCATATCGATTGGATCCTACACGCTTGGGAATACCGAACCCCTGGCTGCTAAATAAACACCAGCATCAAGGCTAGCAGGGGCCGGCCAGAGACCTCCAGTCCGGAGCACCGTCAGGCTAAGCTCCATGGAAACTGCCGTGGAACTCCAAGACTCTCCACTGATTGCTCCCCTCTGTCGTGGCTATGGAGAATTGAATCAGTGGCTTGTCTTATTCCTGAGCACAGGCATGCTAGCGGGAGCTGCCGGGGTCTGTCGATTGGTTGGCAGATAGCCTGATCTACCCCTCCATCCATCCACCCAGCAAGCAATACACGTAACCCAAGCACGTTTGCTCAGTCACCCCTTGCCGTGTCACTAAATAAATTGGAGGATTACACGTACTGTATTGTTCTATACAAGTATCTTTTGCCTAAATCTACAAGGCTATTTATAAGCCCACATGTATTGATGCTTATTAACTAAAATATTTACACATAAATACCCATGCATAATGATAGAAAGTGCAAATTGAGGATTTAAATAATTGTTATTATTTATTGTTGTTACCATAATAGTAATAATCAATACTTGAATTTACAATTATATGGAAACTTTAACATTAAAAGTTGTATTTACTATTTAAAGATATGAGTAGAGCCTATAAGGAAAAGTAATTGTACGAATTGTAAAAGGCAGACTGCTAGCAAGCTGTACTGTTACTCAAGTTGATACATAACCAGCTAATGCAATGCTACTCTATGGATACACGGCATGAACCTTCATAAACTACCAAGAATGGGGGCAGCAAAGGTGAGGTTATTCCTAATTGAGTCACCTTTACATGGGGGGGTCAGTGTATATGCACACGGGAATGTCTGCATCGTTGGCGTGTAAGATAGGGTCAGCGCAAATACATGTAATCAGCTCTCCTGCGGGAGAATAGCGGTTGTCGCTGGTCTGTGAGGCGACAAACACAGCCTATAAGCTGCCAGGTTCGCTTAGCCCGTTCCTGACAGGTTGCCAGGATGGCTAAGAGTCGGTAAATCCTTTGTAAGTTCAGAGGCAAGGGATAAAAGTCACGGAGGGGCCGTGATCTGTGGCGAGGATGCAGAAGCTGTGTCTCCACGATAAGTTATAGAATTGAGCCCTTCTTCCACTTTTCTTGGGTTGCACTGGATGTTCAGATGCTAAGTTTTACGCCACACTCGCACAAACAATCCGGTTGTGGTCGAGTTGCCCATTGACGACGACGACTTGCTTGGTCTATTACTTGTTACTATCCTACTTTTAAATTGCTCTTACATTATCTCTCTCCTTAATACCGTTGCTAAAGCCTCCCTCTCACAACCATACACCAAGCCGTCTTATCGGCACAAACCCGCAAACATGTTTTACACAATCTCCTACAACAATAGCTCGGCGGAAGTCGACAGCGTTTCCAAAATGGCCAGCAACCACACCTTTGGAGAATGTCGACAATCACGGCTTGCTTGTATAGAATGCCGTGCTCGAAAAGTGCGTGGATAACAATGATAACAATGCTCTTCCCTATGAGACAAACGCGCCACTAACACCGGAACCAACAGGTCAAATGCTCTGGAGAAAGCACAGGCTGCCAGCGATGTCAAGGGACCGGTATTACATGCGTCTTTCCAGAGAGAACAAAGCGTGGCACCAAGAGACGAAAGAACTCGGCTCCCTCCGACAATCACAGCAGCTCAAAGAGCAACTCAGGCAGCGAGACGAGCCTCAACAATGGCGATAGCGGCAGCAACACGTCTGCGGGGCTCACAGGAGACTCTCATCCTCTTGCCTCAACAGTTCCCACATCAGAATTCTCTCCGTCGCTGGACTTTAGCCCTTCATATTTCTCATTAGACTTGAGTGACAACTTTAATATCGGTATGGCTCTTCTATAACCGGGTGGTTCTTGTCTTGGCTTACACTAACGCCGCGAGCCGTCAATTAGATCTTGATCAATTAAACTCCACTCTTGGAGACCTTAGCAGCTTACATTCAAGCAGCAGCATATCACCATCACAAAGCCAACCTTTTCCCACCGTATCCCGCCGGACGGTGAGAACAACAGAAGGCTTGTGCCTGGGCGACAGCCCTTCTATCAAGGACGGCAACATATGCGCCTGCGCCCAGTCTGCACTCCACATGCTCGAAGAGCTCGAACTACAATACGAAAACGGTGTCGACGTTTCCAGCGACACGATCCTGGGCTACCAAAAGATTGCTCTAGCTCGCCTCAACTCCTGGATATCCTGCGACCACAGCCACACCCCCCGAGCAACAACCAAGCTTATCGTGCTGGTAATAGAGGGGCTCTCGCTGTATTTAGAACGAGGGGCGGCGAACTGTATTCGACAGATGCGGCAAGAGGTCGAGGATGAGGATCCTTCTGCTGCTGCCAGAATGTGCAATGTGGGGGACTACCACGTCGAATCGAAGCACGAGTGGGCACACATCCTCCGGGTTTCGCTGCTGGTACGATGCAGAGAGCTTTTAGCCGCAGTCACGAGGCTAAAGCAGCACGATGTCAACGACGTGCTTTTGCCGGCGGTAGAGACGCGGTTATCGAGCGTCATACAGGAGCTGAAGGGCTGGGAGGATTATCTGTAGACTTGCAAATGTGATTGGCTGTTTTGGTATTACTTAGACTCCTGAGGCTTTCATTAGCAGCTCGCAAATCCATAATCCCTTATCTTCCACATCTTAGATACCTAATGAAATGTCTCCTTCTCACACCCACACCACACCACACATGGCAGATGATGTTCTCGACATGCATCCACACGCCAACAGTCCTAGATCTTCGGCCTTCCGGGACCCTAAAGCAAAACGAAAACGCAAGTGTGTGTCACTCCCGGTAACGCTAGCATGGGGTTCCGTAGACACTTGAACACCACCTCCAGCACAATACACCTATTACCCCAAGTGCGTAACCAGAATCAGGCATATACTACTATCTCGGACAGATATTTACTGATTGCTGACATCCGCACCCCATCTGCGTCGAGGCTTCGTTGGTCCCCTGTTCCCTGTCCACATGCGGCTGTCGTCGTCCCAAACACGCCACATTTGTCATGTTTACGAGGAGAGAGACTAATGCATCTCACTCTTGATTAACAACCAATGCTTGGCTCAAGGCTCACGGAGGTTTTTTTTTGGGGGGAAGAAGTATACGCACGGATTTTTACGAAATCGATAAACCGGCGATGTGATTTGACCAACCCTACATAAGCCAGAGGGTGGTATTATTGAGATGAAAGACCTTGCAGTTCCAGCTCAATCAGGGTTGCATGCATTCATCTCACACCTCGCCCACGTGCGGAGCAAAGATCACCCTGCTTATCGCAATCGGGGAGCGGCGGGTGAGACACTGAGTCCTCCAGAAAGAGGCCACCTTCACGACGATCCCCTGTATATGGAGGTTTCACTGCGGCCTCTTTCCAACGACGTAATTGCCATTTGCGGAAGATGGTGAGTGCTCTGGCGCCTTGGCTATTTAATTGAATCCTTCGAGCTGAGCAACTGACAGCGATTGTGGTGAAGGGGGAAACAGCAGTATATACACCGGTACTTTATTTCCGTTTTAGGATTGAATTTGCGGCGACTCAAAGTTAGTGCTCAACTACGGCGAATTGTAATCACTGCATGATAAAACAAGCCAGGAACGGTTTATAGATGTAAAAACTACTTTAGCCGTATACTAATACACAAATTGTGCCATTATCAATAAGAATGGTCAAATCCCCGCTTTATGTGCAATTCTTGCAATAATAGAAAGTCCAAGTAGGTAGCAACCGTGATTGATGATAACTACATGTAAGCTTAGGCCAACAGCGGCCAAGACTCATGTACCAGGGAGCCCTGCAGCCTCGCTGTTTCGCCCGCTACAGGTATTACATACATGGTAAGGACCAAAATACTGCAATAGGCAGCGATTTCAAATACTAAAAACACTTGAGAATACCGTATCTCCGGTGAAAACTCGCTACATGTGCAAACGGCCCCCAGAAAGTCCCTAAGCCTCGTGAGGTTACGACTGCGTTTCTAGAACAAAAGAGGGTCCGTATAGCTCTATCGCCATATCTGGCTCAAGACCCAAGGAAAAATTGTCCCCTGTAATGCTACAACGCGATCCATAAACTTGGACAATATATGGAGACTCTTCCCCGGTCAGTTTTGCAAGGGAGCCCGGTACACTGCCAACGCTACAGTACCATGTTCAAAACGACTGCAAAGAACACCGCAACAATGAGGCTCTCGTTTGAGAAATCCACCAGGTGCGGTGTCCACCTTACTGGGGTATCCGATATCCGGAGTTTGCGCCCCCAAGATACAATGCCCGGCAAGTAATAGAGCCAAGTAAATGATCATTATTAAACATGTAGAGATCAGTAAATCACATGTTTGTAAAACGCCTATATAGGTGAACAGCTTGTTTACTCCAAACCATTCCTGACTCCACCTGTCAGCTTACATGTCTGTTCTAGTCAATCTACCTGTGATTGGTATGGCGGGTAGGCTTTTACCTTCCCTATCTACATATATTGCGTCCTAAAGGAAGGATTGATATCCTGATAAGAATCCATCCTCTTACTAGGGAGAGCCACTTCTCTATCCCGATCTTTGGCTCGCGCGCGACTACCACATCCAGTTCCCCACAACCTCATACAGGAAAGAATCGCTAGTGGAGATAACTCATCGGACATGGTTGCAATGAACGTCCAAAAAGAGACTCGCATCCTTTGGGAACCGCGCAGTCGGGAGGCTTGTAGTTCCCGGGTTGAGCTATCATCAGTTCATGATGTCCCAATGTTCTCTTCCGTAGCTCCCGCTTTGGGTGACACTTTGATACCCAGCTGCCCCATCGATCCTCTTCTTTTTAATAGCGTACTATCCCTGGTCGTGTTTCCCCTCTTCTCTTTCCTAACAGGACTGGTGATATGAAGATGGAGTAGATATTGAAGCAACTCACGTATAAGTTGCTGAGGTCAAGATTAAGTCGATGAGTTCGTAACCATTACCAGAAACTCTCTAGGTTTTCTGCCCTTGACCACTTGTATTCCTTCGCCTTTGTATATGATAATGCGTTGTTCTTCCAAGACATGGATTAGATTCCCTAAAATTGGTGAATATCCCTGTGATTTGGAAGCTGTGGAGCACATCTCTTGAACAACTCAGCTCGAGTCACCTTCAGGGGTTGATTTATTGGATCATCCACCTTCCAGAAAGCCTCTGGTGATATTTTTCAAATGCAAGTGAACATCAGGGGCGTAGAAAGAACATGGAAAGCTCATGGCCCCCAATCAGTGGAGTTGCAGGAGAGCTCGTCCGCGGATTTGGGAACCCAAAATAACGTTTGACAACTAGATGCCATGCTCATAAGTTACCCCTTTATCTAGTTGACTACTCCACTCAACTTTGTTCAACCTAGTCAAGCTCATCAACGAGTTTTCTCCTATTGGTGACTAAACTCTAGCAACCAAGCAGTGACTATAGTATTCGGCAGGCTGATACCAGTTTCAATGAAGTTGTACCATCAGTAAAAGAAGCATCAGCTAGGCTTGTATTACATCCGCGTATAGCTTCACTTTTTTTCACAATGAAGGTTCTCTTTTACCAGAGCGAAACATTGACTTGAACCAGCTCTTGGTTGAGGCACTACGAGTAAGAAAGACGGTGTACAGGACACGCATCATGGTTCAAGACAAAATCCACCAGGAGGACCAGTCAGTATAGTAGAAGTACAATTATTGAAACAGATATTCGTTACAAGGATGGTACACACGTACTCTATGAATGTGTCCGCCTATTATCATTTACTAATTTAGGCTAAAAATCAATGCAAGTCTCTATGCAGATTTCCTAATATTTAGAAGGTTCATGCTGCCTTAATTCTTCTAGTAGGCATGTTAGCACTGCTGCTTACATTAACTAGGGTCCTCTTTGTGCAATGATCTTAGTTACTGCTTATTAGTTTCTAATAGCGTATTATTCTTCCCCTGTTACCGGAGAATAAAAAATCCCCCTTTCCCTTGTTGTTTGAATCAGTGATTTGACAAGCGGTTCAACGGAGGGCGCGAGCAAAGAAGGATTCAATAAATCAAGCGCTTGTAGGCAGCAATGCGACCTTGGGTAATGATCTATTGTCCGTATTCATGATTCAGCAGGGTTGTTCATTCAGCTGGATGATTCGCAACGAGTTTTTCTTTTGGCTTATGTATATCATCTTATACTTGTGATGCTGCTCAAGGGGCGAAAGAGCTTTCCATGTCTAGGTTGGCCCGCGAACCGGCTTCAACTTTACTTGATGGAACCCGTCGGTACTGGCGCCGGAAAATTGCGCTGAGTGGCTTGGATAGTCTCGATCGTTGGTGTCAGCTTTCCCATATGGTGATCGGCCCGTCTTGGGCGTCACGAAAGCTTCATGCTCAGCCGCTCACTATTGGCTTGTATCCTATTTACGCGTATGTTGGTGGAGATCTAGGTAGCATTGATTCGGTCCGTCGCAGCTGAATTCCTGGGAAAAGAACGTGTAAGCTGTGGCAGTTTGTCTTAACGGTTAGTCGTATTGATGCTGTCTCAATTCTTGGTGGAGACTCATTGCGTGGCACCGATATCCCAGCTGCTCCCATGCACAAACCCCTCCACCGTGTCATACCCCTAATCGGCTCTGAGGCTCCTTCACGTCCAAGGAGGAATCGAAATGTTATGCTTACGACGCCACTAATGCTAGCACGTACTCTTAGC